CGATAAATTATAATCCATTATTTTAGCACATTTTCCCTCCTAATTCTTTATAACAGGTGCGTAAAATTAATTCCGTGCCTTTCTTTTCAAAAAGTCTTTATCGACTCAAAATTGCCATACTTTTTCAGCGAGAGAATTCTTCAGTTGCCCAATAAACGAAGGAAAGACTTTATTAAAATTATCAATAATTGTGAAAAAAGGCACCGAATTAATTTTTACTCGTTTTTAATTACAATCCAAAGAGACTTAATTTCTCTTCGAATTCTCTTCAGTAGAAAGAAACGGTGGATTATTCGAAACGCGAACCCCCGACGAAGAGTATCGGTATCGAAACTGTAATCTTCCGTAAGAAGGAAACGTACGATTCGCGTGACGGTTTTCCGAGGGAAACGTAGAATTAAACGGAAGAGGAACGGGTGTATCGCGGGTTCTTTTTCGCGTCACGCGACACAGGATCGGCCCTCCATAAATTCGTCCGGGCACAAAGAGAAACGAAACTCAAGAAGGCGCACACGATGGTTTATGTTCCGCATCACGCGACCCACCGATAACATTAACGAACCAATCCTCTCTGTTCTCCACCCTTCTTCCATTCGCGCGAGAACCGAGATTGGGGAGAAAGTTATCGTTTCACTCGGCTGCTCTCGCCTTCTTCCGCTAGCCTCTCCACCCTTTTCCTCGCTTTCTCTCGCCCTACGGAGTCCCTTTGGCTTTCTTCTCCCTGTTTGGCCCACTTTTCCCTTGTCGCATGGCGCGAAACTGCGTTCATTAGAGGTTGGATTGGGCTTTTATGACGCCATATCGACGCAGCGTAGTCATCGAGCCCCCTTTTAATCATCTTCCTCTGGTTCTCCCTTCTGAGGGACGTTTCGACCATTGATCCAGTCACGATATCAAGCTTTCGTCGTCAGATTCGTTGTTTCTAACGTTTTTATTATCGTGATACAAAAAATGAGTGTTCACAGGCTTCTATCAGCCATAATTCAGAATTGTTACAAGTTTAGAATGAAATAACGTCGTTGAAAAGATCTGTCAGAGGGTTCGACAGGTGCAGAAAGTTCGAAGTTGCGAAAGAATAGAATGGAATAGAGTGATTAAATTCTAATTAATCGATGCACGAAGGGCCCTTTCAGACGTATCGAGCGTTGGAGAGCAATTCTATTCGAGTTCCGATCGCTAGCACAGTGCTCTCACAGAGACATTTTCATTCGACTTCCTTCTTTCCCGCCTGAATTTCTCCCTACGTTCACTCTACCTGTTCACTTTCATCGTTGAAGTACGCACCGGTAACGAATGCGTTTCCCTCTAGCCGCGTAACGGCTCGATAACGATCGACTCTCGCCTCCTCATACACATGCATCGTCCTGTTATTCTCCACTGAAACGTACTACGCGTTTCCTGAATGTGGAATTACAAGTTGAACCGCTGTTCTTTGAATAAACTTACCAGACTGTTTCTTTTCACTTTATGCAAACAAATGCTTCCACGACACGACGATCGTCTCTCCCAAGAATTCCTCATTTACAAACTAATCGATACCCTAATCAGAATCTCCGAAAACATTCCGAAGCAGAAGGAATCTGAGGCCGTCTACTTTAAATCTCGCCGAGAATTCGTCAGTTTCCCAAGGAACACAGGTATCAGAGTTGCCAGGTCCGAGCCGTTTGATCTTACGCGACCAAGCTCGTCGTTCGCTGAAAGATTCACGAGGACTCCTCTCCGTTCTAACGGTTAGCTATTCATGGTGTCGAGCGTATTCACGGGACGAAACTCTTCTCTTCTCTCCCCACCGTCTTGGAACCATCGCCGCGATTTTCATAAGCCCTTATTGCCGGTGGTGTCCTCGTTGCCGAATCTCGTACAGAAAAGGAGGAAGATAGAGAGATAGAAAGAAAGAGGGGAAAAATAAAGAAGAAGAAGAAGAAGAAGGAGGAGGAGGAGAAGGAGGAGAGCTTAAGCGGTGACGACAGTTTGAGAGATCCTCCGGGTATCCCGTTTGCGGCTAATGTACCGTCCTCACCCTTCGTCGAGGCGGTCTTTCTTCTCGAGTCGAGCCGCGCGACTCGAGGAAATCCGCGCCTACCCCGCCGTTTCGTGCAACGTTTCCGCGTTTCTACCGATACCACCCTACCTTCCCTGCCTGGCTGCCGCTCTTTTCTTCCACCCGCCTCCTTTCATATACCTCCTTCGCTTCTCTCCCCCGTTTTTTTCGCTCCCTCTCAACGCCAGATGCTACTAACTGCACCCTTCTGATGAGATCCTCTCTCTCTTCCTCCTCCCGCGTAACGCTCTCTGCCTGTTCAGCTTCTTTCCTTCAACTTCCATGGTCGGAAGCTAGGGATGGAATTCTCACGTGTGCAGACCCTAACGCGGTGGAACTGGCGCCCGGATCGAACGAACGTCTCGTTCGACGCCCTTTTGCCACACAGCCAACCCGACAGGCTCTTCTGTGTTTGCGGTTGTTTGCGCGAGAATCCAGCCGAGGCTCTCTCCCTTTTCATCACGGTGATTGGAACACGCTGCTGCTGCTTGCTGCTGCTTATCGACGGGAAAATTGCGTGGAATAATTGGAGGACTTTCGTTACCCTTTGTTCTCATCGATTTGCCTGCCTTTTTCAAGCTGTTGCTTGAACTCTGGCTCGGTGGAGAAGTGTATCGGTTGCTACTTGCGGTGGTTCTATCGTTTGTGTACACTTTGTAGGCATTTGGGATAAAAAGGTTCGTTGTTTGTAACAGTGTTGCAAGGTGTTTGTTGAAAATTCTGCTTTTGGCACACTTTCACCCTTAACCCTTTCTTAACCCTTAATCCAGATTCAGGTATTCCACAAAATTTTCTTTTTTACCAGTATCGTTTTAAAATTTCTTTTATCGAATCAACGTGGAAGAGTGCGGAGGGTAAAATTAAGGCTTGAATTAATATGGAAGTGCGCCAAAAGGCTTGAATACCACAGTGCGAAGAAATTTTCAAAGCGCCTGTAGGCGCCGATAGCAGAGAAAGTAATATTTAAACGTTGCGATTGTCACAGCGGAAGGGTTAACGTACTTATCCTTTCTACTTCACTGCTGAAGCTCTTCCAACTGATACAGCTACTTATCTACAACGACTGTAGCCGTATTTTACTTGGAACCACTTACCGTACCCCGTACTCCTTGGAAAAAAAGGACAGAAACAATGGGAAGCACCCTTCGCCGACAAATCCTACGTACTTCCACTTAAATTACAGTAATTTTTCAATTGCGATAGCACACGCCATGCCGTCAGAATGGCGTGAGCCGAACAGCAGATGGTTTCGCGCGTTTCACCGCGTCAATTACCAGCAACGATGAATCGTTCTCTCGTTAAGGGCGATGGTGTTGCAGAGTGTTGGGAGGGTGACGATAAATGCTCCGGTTATTTGATCGGCGCCCAGGCCCTTATTGCATAAACAGTTCCGCCGTGGAATAAATTTTCACGAATACCAGTGAAGGAGACGAAGGGAGAGACGTGACGACGGTGGTGGTCGAACTGAAGGACGGAATTCCGGGGGTGTTGTGCGTAAACGCGAGGCACGAATTCGCCCGACATTCAAGTTTCGCTCTCTCGACGCGACCAACCCGGTGATTAATTAAAACGGAGGTTAATATACGGGTCGAGGCGCGGCTTTAAGAGCAATTCATACTGTCCCCGGGGTCAACCACGGAATACTTTTAAGCTGGGACTCCAACGGTGGAAAGAGTCAACGAGCCAGCTTGATTCCACGGACCTGCTGCTGCTGCTGCTGCCTGGCTTTAATGGGCTACCCTGCTAATTCCGAGGAGACTTAAATCACGACCGCGTATCGAATGAATTACCCCGCTATTTCCGCGAGTATAGGTGGTCCCGTGACGAAGAGGAGAAACGGGGGATTTTTCGGAGGAGAAATGGGTCTTCTGGGATCCGTGGAAGTGGGTTTTACTCGCAAGGTGACTTCAAGTCGCTCAAGGAAGACTGTGGAACGTGGTTTTAGCGGGGAATTGGTCGAACTTGGAGACGATTCGAATGAAAAATTTGAATTGGAACGTTGAAATCGCAACGGAGATTAAAATTTCGAACTTTCACTTATTGTCAGCAATCTTTAAAGGAATATTTCAAGAGCATTGTAGGAAATTCTCGAGTGTTTCCTGAAGCACTTTCCCCTTTGAAAAATTCACCCAAATAGCCACTAGACTACACACAACGTGTTCCAACATCGCGATATCACACGAAGCGGAACGCGGAGGCGATAAGGTAACACTCGATCCATGTATTGTCCGCAAACAATGAACACGTCCGTCGACGTGGATGTCGATGAGCGCGTGTGCACGCGCCTACGATGTTCCGTGGCAAAACTGAAATATTCATAATCCGACGTCAGCAGCAGCGTGTCGACGATATATCCCTCGGTCGTCTAATTTTCCTTTCCAAGTGGGAAAACTTTTCGTGGATCTTGCTTAAATCCACGACGGTGGACGAGCGAGCGAGCAGATGCTTCGAGGCTTGACGAGAGTTTAATGGATACCGGTGGACTTGAGCGCCTCCTCGAAGCCCCGGTTGATCCGTCAAAGATTGATACGCGCTGCTCGAAAATCGACGCGGACGTATTTCCGACGATCGTGGTATACTCTCCAGAACGACCGGCGCTTTCCGCCGCAAATTGATTTCTCCTAGGAACTGTCGCGACTCTGAGCGATACGAAGTTCGCCTCGAGATCTCCCGGTTTAGAGTTCGAACGTTTAAATTTTAGAATTTCCCTATTTGCATTTAAATGTTGAAATTTGAATATTCAAATTTAAAAATTCAAATTCGAATATTCAAATTGAATATCTGAATATTCATAGATAGCGAAGATAGTCGCGATACGGGATGAACGAGTGCCGTAAGTCGGGTTATTTTCTCCGAGACCGATAGGAGCAAACGAATTTACCAGAGAATTCTAATCGAAATGGAATAAAATGTAATTACAGGAATCTCCACTAAACCGATCCAATTTTCTCTGTTGCAGCTCTCGGAGCTCGAGCAGCGGGTGTTGGAAGCGGAGGGCCGAGCAGACGAGGCGGAGGACAAGGTGAGAATAAATTACAATCACCTGAGTTTCGTCATCGACCAGAGAAATCTCACCTACTGCACGTTTTTCATCGCGAGAAAATACCCACCCGGTCATCCTTTCCAATATTATTCTACACTCGTTAACGCTCGTTTTTCCTTGAGCTCGTAAACAGAGCCGAAGCACCGGCTCGAGGGCGTCGAAGAGAAATCGAAACCGTCGATGTCCAATCGATTCGGTGTAAATGATTACCACCTTGCCACGCAATTAACGAGACGCCAGTGTCGTCGGTTAACGCTCGGCCAACTGGCCCCCAAGACATCAAGGATAAATAATTAATTTACCGAGTGGTAACGACGTTCCCAGCGAGACCTTCCGTCCGCTTTAATGACTCGCCTCGACGATTACTATGTAACGGGTGTTCCACGACAATTCCCTCCTCTTTATCGCGTATTCGATCGTCCTCCATTTCTAAAACACCTTTTCACACATGTAATTATATCCTAATACGTTACGATTTTTTTCACACCATTCGACGTTCACTTCGTTTCAACCCCATTGCCAACCTTCGTTCTCTCCTCGACGTTCCATTTTCTGCTTTCTGTTTTTTATCCTTTTTTCAATACGACGCTTTTAATATCCTTTTAATCCCCGCTTTGTGTATTAATATCGAGCTGCACGAAGAATTTTTTTTAATAAATATCGATACGAAATTTGTCAAGAGTAAAATGATTCTCATTAGTTGGACAGGTATTTCTGTTGACACGGTATTACAACGATAAATTATGTAATCGCAGCGAGAATCGTAAGAGAGAGTGATAAGCTATTGTTCGTTTTATTCCTCGCTTCTTTCTATATACACCTTCGAGGTTGTTTTTCAATTAGAAGTAAGAAGGTGCACGGAATGTTTTCTGCAATCGATAGACCGGCATAGTGAAATGTTGCATTGCAGCAATGCACGCCCTTTGACCTTTTTCCGTCCCTGATTTCCACCCTGTAATTTCCAGTTGCAATTGGACCGTGAAACATTAAATTCAGCGAACCAGGTTAATTAGCACTTTGTGCATAAGTAGACGAAGTAGAATAGCTGAAACATCGAATGGGAGAATTCCAGGCTAATAAACACCGCGAGATCTTCTCTGCCCTTTTACCGTAGGCGTAAACAAGTCGTCGAATCTCATCCCTTCGTCGCTGATAAAACATTCATCGAACGACACGTGAAATGTTACCTGGAGAATTTTTTATTTCAATCACAGTTCCAGCAGGAGAATATCGATACTGCGTTACCGACCAGAGAAACTGTTACTCGAGGGTGTGCAGACTGTCGTTTCTACCGAGTTCCTCATCGATTTTCACCCTCGACCTTGCAACCCCGTTTCCTGGCCTTTACCGACTGGTACCGAAATTTCTCGGAACCTCGTCTCAGCAGGTACCAACTGTGGGCAATCGAATTTTCGGGATTCGGAAGGCAATCGAATTTGTGAGCTTCGACTGATAACTCGTACCGATGAAGCTTCTGTCGGTAATTGTCTCCTTTAACCCTTTCGTAACCCGGGCAGAAATTTTTCCAGATGCGAAACGGTTAATTGATATTAATTTCCCTTGTGCACAGAGACACAGAAAAGAAGCGTCCTTGCCCTAGTTTCCCTTTCAAGCTTCCACTTGAAACCTTCGACAAAATTCTCATGGTTCCTCCATAGAAAAGAATTCTATTTAAACCCAAAAAAAATCCCCGACTGAATCCTAAACTTCCACTTTCAAAAAAACCTCGCTAGAAAATTGTCGTCCACTTTAACCCTATGTTATCTCAATTAGTGTCGCTAAAAACGCGACGACCTCTTAAAAAAACAATTCAGTGACGAGAAGGGGTCAGCAGAGCGTTCTCCAACAAATTTGCCCCATTTTCCCAAATTGAAAAGCCCTCGTTTACCCTCTAAGTAGAGACAGGCAGACGAGGGAATGTAAGTCCAGTCGGTAATCGGTGAGGATCCGGTTGTCAGGGCGCATGTTACGTCGCATTGATTTTCGCGTTGGTTCGTCGCGAGAAAGACGACCGGCTGATAGACGAACGAAGAGAGAAGGTATGTGGGGTACGGAGAGAAAGAGAAAGAGAGAGAAGAGCGACAATATGGCCGTACGACCGGCCGGCAGGACCGTCGTTTTGTTATGACCTCGAAATTCGCCGGAGAAGTCGGCCGTTCGTGAACCACGTGCATCCGCGACGAGATCGTCTGGTGATAACTGTCCCGTATCTCTCGATCCCCGTACGATCGACGCGGGGAGGATCGACAGGGACAGCGTCGTCCACGAACCACCGCGTTCTTGAGAATTATGGAGCCAGGCAGGTGACAACCGATGAAAGGTAAAACTGTAGACTAGAGTGATGACACTGTCGTTCTCCATTCTAGTATCTTCTTATCTATTTTGCACTTTTACCGTCGTTTCTTCGTACTTCTTTCCTCCGAGTTCGATGCAATTTTTCGGGATGAAATTCGGAGGTTTTTTGGCTGAGGGTGTTTGACCTCTTCTCTTATTTTTGAGCAGAAATTTTGTTCTTCGAGGATGAATAGGAAGAAGAGAAAGATTTTATTGGATCCCTTTTTGGGGGGGAATTTTGTTTGTAGCTAAATTAATAATTATGAAATTAGTAGCTGTATTAGTTAGAGTGGAATCTTTATCTTCTTCTTCTACTTACTCGTTTAAGTGTACAATATTAAGCAGATCTTTTAGGTATTTTATTTAGAATCGATAGAGCGTGTGGTCGATTTGAATGCTTGAGGGAGAGGAATTATTCGTTGCAAGGTGTTTAACCTAATTTTCCTGCCTGCAAGAATAGCGGGGGTAGAACGTAGGTTTAACCACCGCCAGTTGTGCTGGCATCAGCACTCGTTCCAGCAAACTGTAAACTGCCAAATTTTGCAGTAATCTTCTCGTGAAAAAAAGTGATCCGAAATTTTTCCTACAATTCTCCAAGAACCTTCGTTTCTCGAGAGGGGAGAATTATTAATCAAACTTCCAACGCGTTCTCCGCCCAATTTTTCCAAGCATAACAGAAGCGTAGGGCAGATTAGCAAACGCGCGAGCGTTTAAATCGACTCTTTCAAGAATCGTACTTCAATGGAAGGCATCGCGGTTGATTATTCCGATCGTGGTCGATCCGAACGAGATCGAGGAGTGCGTCGACACGAAGGAACGGGCGACTTAACGGACGCGGCTCGACTTAACGAGTCAGCTTTGACGGGACGTGTCGCGTATAGAATTGGCGTGCATCCAATTCATGAGTAATCCTCGTTTCCCGTGCGCACCCGCGCAGCAAACAAAATAAAGGTGCGCGCAGACGTTCCTATCGCGCTCGTTGCCCGCGCGACTTTAAATATTTCAAAGCAGCCCTGGCGCCGTACTCGTTTCAACTCCTCCTTTCTTTCTTTCTGCCACTGTTGCAATTATTCTCTAGACTCCCCTCGTCACGTTGTTCTTTACAGTCTTTTAATAAAAACTTTGACCTCCTTCGTGCACTGCGATACCTTGGATCTCGAGGATCTTCGTCAGGTAAACTGGATGGTTTAATTGAAACAGTGGTTTTAGAGTAGGTGTACCTACTTTCGATGCCACTTTCTTTGTCGGTAGCTGTGTTGAGAGACAGAAGAAGCTTCGTTTGGTCACGTTGCAGTTATAAATATTCTCGTCTTAGGCGAAAGAGACATCTTGCGAAGAGTAAATTTATCACGAAAGTTTGCTAGCTCGTTGAATTCGTCAGACTAAAAATGTCTGTACTGTATTTTTCAGGCAAATAGCTAATTATTTAGGAGATTGAAATCAGTTACGTCTTGTATTCTAAAGTATAAAGCACTCGCAGATATAAACTATCAGGAAATGCAAGGGTTGCAAGTTCCAATCACGCTATTCTTTTCATTCTTTATATTTAGTACGTAAATAGTAACCAATGTTAGTTATTCATATCGTATAAACAATTAGCCGTCTGTCTCCTCAATTGTACGCGCTGGCAAAGTTTCATTAACAGGCGAGATCTCCTTGTCGGTGAAACTTCAGTTCCTCTAACGAAGATGTCTTCAGAATTGAGTCTACGGTCTGTTTGCTCTCTCCTCCAAGAGTTGTCTCTGCAAATTTGCCATCTACAGCGAGGATTATTCGCACCAGGATTAATATTAAAATTCTGCCTCCAAAGGCTTCTCCGTAAGATCGAGGCTTCTTATATCAACATATCTATAGAAGAGACGACCACCCACTTTCTTTACTCTCTCCTCCGAAAATTCTCCCTGGAAACACTGTAACTATTGAAATTTCACATTGACTCGAGACTTGGAAATTTTCGCGTCGAATCCTGCCGCCAGCAGCGTGTTGCAACAAACTCTCATTAACGTGGAACTCGCGCAATGTGCGCGACACAGGCGTGCAATGTCGAGCCCTTCAGTCGTCGACGCGTTTCTCACGCGTTCGCCGGTCGTTGATCCATTTAGCCAGCCGCAGCCGTGCTCTCTCGTCTGTACCTTTTTTTTTCCTCTCTTTTCTTTTCTTTTCTTTACTTTCTTTCTCTTCTCCTCTTTTTTCTTTATTTCGCGACAGAGTTCCCCTCCGACTGGAACGATCGCGGCGGCTGAATGAATGTTCCTGCGTGTACACGGTGCACACTTTGACGGGGCTGGTTTTGGCGGGAAGCCAAAAGCGCGATTCGACGATAGCGAAGGAGAGAGTGAGGTGATACCGCTTTGTCGCGTGCACGCGCACGTGCGTCGGACCAGCGTGAAAAGATAAGGGGGCCAGCCTCCGTATACTCGTCCTGTCGAACCCCTCTCTGCTCCCCCTTTTTTTTTTGTCAGACCCTATTCGACGGAAAAACAAAGTGGCCCTTTGCCATTCAGCCGGGCTTCGGGGCCGTGTAGCCGCATGATTCGTTAAGTATTTTGGGAAGCTTGTAATTCTCGGGATATGGGTTATGGGATATTATGGGGTTGGATCGACCATTTGCTAGTACATCGCAGCCTTTGATGTTTCATGTTTGGAAAGAACTACCGTGATAACAAACTGCTATTCTTCAGCGAGATTGGGAGAGATTAATGTTACTAATTGAAGAAATTATAGTTGAATTAACACTGTATACGCAAAGATATTTTTTCACACTTGGAAGGCAAATTGGGGTATTTCTCGGAGAGATTGGAAGAAATATTTTAGGAGACTAATGTTACCAATTGAATAAATTACAATTTAATTACCTCTGTGTAGGCAAACTGGGGTGATTTTTTAGAGAGATTGGAAGAGATATTTTAAGGGACTAATGTTACTAATTGAATAAATTATAGTTGACTTAACATTTCGTAGGCAAACTGGGGTTATGTTTAAGAGAGATTGCAAGAGATATTTTTGCGAGAATGTTACTTAATCTGGGGTCTGTGTTTTATCATTTTTTTTACTGTTCCAAGCATTGAAAAAATCGGAAAAAATTCTGAGATACTTATGAAAGTCTGTGCTACGTTGTAGAATTGTTCATTGACACCGTAGATTCGATTATTCCATGGTTGAAGCTATTTCTAGTTTTGCACCATTTCGCTTTCAAGCCTGCGCCTCCGTGGACGCATGGCGAATCGATAAATCTTCGGATAGGACTGAGACGTCCGCAGAAGTCGTTCGATCGAATGATGAACTCGCCGTCCCGGTCGTTGTCTCGGAATTAAACAGCCCCGACTCGGCTGCCAAGTCTCTCTTCTCCTCTCTGTCTGCCCTCTGGAATCCAATGAACCAGCTAACATCAGAAAAAACATACAATCTCGCTAAAGAACTGGCTTAATTCCTCCTCCCTTCGAACGTCCAAAAATTCCTCGGCATCCTCTGCAATCATTAACACCGTTACACTTGCTTAACGTTTAATTAACATCCATAATTTCTTCCGAAAATAACTTTGAAAATTCAGTTGTTCCTCGATCGACTCGAATATTATCCTCAGCAAGGATGTGCACTCCTAATTTCTATTTCTCCCTTAGACCAGAAAAAATGTGCAATTCTTCTAATTTAAATTTCCTCGCATCGTACAATTCTCCTAATTTTGAATTTCCTCACATTGTAAAATCCCTCGAAATTTCTTCCAAAAATGAGGACTCTGAAAATTGGAGCAATCCCTCGATCGACTCGACTCTAGTTCGAAATCGCGAAACTCTGATTCCTTCCCTCAACACCGAATCACGTCCCACACCCAGCAATCCTCAGCTCATCCCTACCATCGCAGCAATCAGCATCGCTGCGAGACATCCCATGAGCCATCGTTCATCGCAGAACGTGTCGCGTGGCGGCGACGAGCGCAGGTCTGCGAGATACCAGCGTGGAACAGATCGATAAATCTTCAGTAGGAAGTTCCACCAAACCTTTCCAAATATCTTTCAATTTTCACTCTTACTCTTCTCTCTTCATTTTTAATCTCTCCCTCTCGAGTCCTCTATCTCCGTGTCGTCACTCTGCGTGCGCGCGTGTGTGGATCTTCGAAGGAGCTGTCCATCGTCAACTATCAGGGGTGGCTGGCTTGTACACGAGGACCTCTACGAATTCTGCCATTGGCCGCAAGCCAACGTGACTCATCGGCCTCAACGGAGGCCCCAACAGTTTACGTGCATCGGTTTCGTTCAGTACAGTTCGATCATCGTCACAGCGTGGCTGCTGCACCCCTTCTTTCCTCTTTCACTGCGTCCTCGCACACCTATACGACAGCCTGCAGAATATCACGGGGGCAAAATATATATTCTGCTAAGCTGATACTGTGTTCGTGGGAGTGTCCTCGAGGATCAAGCAGCGGAGAACCCTCGAGAGTTGGAACAAAGGGGATCGGGAGAGAAAGGGTCCTTGGCTGCTCTGATTAGCCCACGATCATCGGCTATCATGGCCACTCTTAGCTTCCTCGGTAAGGAATACTCTTTTCCACGGTGTTTATCTTTAACAGAAGATTTGATCGACCTGTGAGGGATCTCGGGAGGTAGCGTGAGGTGCGTGCGTGTGGATTGTGGCACGTGGTTTAACATAGCGAAGCTGTTACACCGCGGTCGAAGCGCGAAGAATATTCGAGTATCTGGAAAGACAATTCGGTGGAGTGACGGTGCTATTAATACTGCTCTGGCTCCGTCCAAGTTTTGTTACTCATCGCGTGGAATATCTTGTGCTTTTCGAACTACCCCTCCGGTGATTCTTTTGTGGAGGAGACGAGAGGAGCGAACCTTGCGAATCGACTCGTATATTAATGAACAAATTTGCAAATAATCTTGTGGGTGAAAAGAGGGAAGGTACACCATGCTGTTCTCAATTCTGAAATAATTCAACCTTCTAAAGAAAAAGAAGAAGTTGAAGACCACTTGCTAATTTTCACTAACATCAAATCTGCCGCTAGCTCTTTATAAATTTGAAATTAGCACAAAAATTCTCGAATTGACGTCGCAGAGTAAAAAAACTAACTTCTTTCTCAAATCTCTCGTGCAACTCGCAACTCGCGACGATCCCAAAAGTTCGAACAATGACGTGGACAGATCGCCGCATCCTTCGCAGAAGAATCGAACGAAAACGTTTGAAAAGATAGGTTATACGAGACGACGAGGTCCTTGACTCGTGGGGAAAGGACGACAATGAACGTGAAAACGCGACAGGGTGATCGATATGCCCTCGCGGAGAGCACATGCACACGCACGCGGGCGCCAGGAGGAAAACATTCGGCCAGAGGATTTCCCCGTTGGCGTATTGATTTTCTCCATACGTCTCCTCCCTCTTTGGCCCCTTATGCCGCCTTAGTGGACGCGCTCACTGTGCAAGCGCTTACGTATCCTCGGTGCTGCGTGAACGCGATATCGATTTTTGACAGCTGCTGCTGAAACGAGCCACCCGTGTGCCAGAAAAGGGGTGCACGAGGTCTGCACGCAACGCGAAACCGATCGTTCACCATCCACTTCTCTCTCTCTCTCTCCCTCTCTCTGCACGTATATTTCACCCTGTATCTCCGTCTCCTTCTCCATCGGCTCCCTTCTTCCTCTGCTTTGTCATTGCTGTTTACTCGACGATCCCACGGCCACGCGTCTCTGGCTTTACCATGCTTCTTCGATCGCAGCGGAAATGTGGCATGCTCGCGTGACCATTTTCCGTTGGAAATTCTCAACGAAGTTCCAGTTTTCGAGCGGAAAGTGGGCTGTCCGAGGCGGTTCCATGGGAAACGAGCGTGAGTGGAGAGGACACTATAGAGTGTGTTCCAAGGGTGCATGAAAACAACGATGGTTGTCGATCGGTGCAAATATTGTCGTATTTCGAGAAACGGTGTTACTCGTGAGGATTTGTTTTCGATGCATTCGATCGTAGGAATTTTTTGGGAATTTGCGAAAGGACGATTGTGAGAATTTCGTTGGATTTTTCTTTCAGGTACGGATGATGGAGGAGCGGCTAGTGAAGGGTGAATACTGCTTGAGCACATCCGGCGTTGGTTCTCCACCGCATTCGCTGCCGTCGACTTCCGGTACGCAGAATGAGAAGGTCGACGATGTCCACTGCGCTTGCATCTCGAAGCTAGAGACACAGGTCGAGGAACAGGTGACAGACATAACTCCGATAAATATTCTCCCCTCCCCGGCTGAGAAAAGTGTATCTGAATCATTTTCTGATTGGTACGAAAGCATCTGAAATTCCCAGTAACGTCGTACGCTCTGCGAATTCTCCTCGAAAGAACCGGATCCTAACACTTACCGAGCGTAAAACGACGTCGTAGAATGAAGAACGCGCCGCGATATTTATCACGTCACATCGTTGAATCCGCGATAAAACGATTCACCGTATCAGACGGTGGCTATAGATACGAAGATGACGATTATTAACTCGCTTGCAGAGACAGTTGCGGCTTCAAGACGCTAGGCAGGTCGAGGCGAAGGCCGCGAGGATAAAGGAATGGGTGACGAATAAGCTGAGGGAGCTGGAGCAACAGAACCAGCACCTGAGAGAACAGAATAACAAGTGCAATCAGCAGCTGGAGTTGCTGAGGAACCATATTACCAACATTGGCCTCAAACCACCTGTGAGTCTCACTCGCGTATTAGATTACTACTCTCGGAAAAAAGAATATTGAATTAATCCTGAAACCTAGTAACTCGGTAAAAAAAGATTAAATTACTGTAGAAATGAAGTGTCATCGAGTAAAAATATATGTTGTATTAATCTTGCAACTGAGTGATTCAGAGAAGACAAACAAAGAAAAAAATGGAAAAATATTGATATAGAAGAGTATTGAAAAAAGTAGCAGTGAAGGCTATTAATTGACACATTGCAGGCACCCACGAGGGCTTCCCTGTCGTTGGAAGTGGATCCCACATTGCGCAGACGGTCGGAGAGCTTGGAGGGAACGCCGCAGGCGGTACCGGAAAGTGTGCAAAGCGCCGTAGCGGAACCGCAAGCGGGTACCAAGCATCGAAGACACCTGTCCGCTTGTGGGACGATCCAACGAGGGATCACCACCACCAATATGGACTCAAGGTAGAATCTCGTTGCGAGAAACGTACCTACCTCGAGTGTCGACGCTTCGTGCCTACGTTACACACGTTTTTTCACACACCGTATATATATTATTCTCTCGCTTCTTTTTTACGCAATGGTCGCTTTCATCTACGCTTGTTGCTAGCGCGTCGTCTGTTTGTATAATTGTTATATGATTCTCCTTGGGAGGACTCACGACGTGATAGCGGCGCCCGACTCTCGAAACTGTGGTACCCTGTAACGTCCTGAGACTTCCTGCGGGGATCTGTCGACCCGTGTACCGTTTCCTCACGATTCTCTCGAGTCTAGCTGATCGTTATTTTCGTTTTATTCCTTTCCATACTGCCACCTGAACATGATTGTTACAAAGCTGTTTTTGCCTGACGGACATGCAGGACGATTCTGGAAACTGTTTGATCTAAATCAAATAAGTATGCTGTATTAGTTTCACGAGCTGTTCAATTTTTCAGTTTGTACACGTGTGAAGATGTATCGTTCAGAGGTGTTGATACCCGCAAAATGGAAAATTGAATATCTCTAAACATATCTGATCGTACATTGTGAAACATCCTGTATATTCGTTGAGACGATTGAAGTGCGCTAGCTGGCTGAATTAGTTCCGTGTTTTATCTGGTGATGTTGCCAAACATACCCGGAGTCTCGGAGACCAGCAGAGACAGCGGAAGTTCCGAAGCTGTTCACGATTACGCGGAGATTTATACGCCAAGCAGAGAGGGGATGAATTGGACTCAGAATGCACAGGGTCCTCGACCACCCACTCCGCCGTTGCACCGATTTCCCAGTTGGGAGGCGAAGATATATCAGGTAGAGATTCTTCGAACCTTTTATCGTCGATGGAAGATGTCTCTGGATCAGTAAAGTAGAACAAGTTCCTGAGAGAAGAGAATGAATGAAGTGTATAATGAAGTGCATACTGGCCAAGTTGTTGCAATTTGTAACGAAACAAACGCATTTGCCAATCCCATAGGTGGCTGACGGCGGGCTTGGCATCGGTCCACCGACGAACGAGGAATCCGCGCCCTCCACAATGACCAACACGACCAGCTCGTCGAAACATTCCCAGGCGACAGGACACAACTTGACTGCGCACAACTCCCAAGGCTATTGCGATATTTCGGTTCCAGTTTACGCAACTGTCAAGGGTAAGCCTCCTCTACATTCTTCTCGAGGAATGTTTCACTTGAAAGAAACACTCTTCTTACAATTCCTCTTACTTCTCGTAGGACGAGCCAGTCAAATTAGGTCTATGCCCTTCGGAGACAGTTCCGACGACAGTTCCGACGGCGAGGAACACCCTAATCAAACGGAAACCAACACCAGAATTACCAATAGTTCTTCGGACAACACGGACTCTTCGCTTGGAAGCGGAAGCAGCCCTTCGAAAAGTGTGAAAACCACCAGCAGCCTTAGTCCCGCGAAAAGAAGCTCCAGTGGTTCTCCTAGTAAAAGTGTGAAACGTGGTGGGTATTTAACACGTTGTTAGAACTCGTTAACACGTTGATAATCGTACACGCGATAACTTGAAGATTGCATCGTTTGCAGATACCTCTCTGGAATCTGGTCTGTCGGAAGACTACGCGATACCTCCCGATGCTCTTAGCTCCACTTCCCTCGAATCTAGTATGCCCAGCCTGCTGATGCGCGTCTCTGGCGAGAGTCCAAAGCGGCAAGAGTCTCTGGAGAAGACTGGCCACCTGGCGAAACTCGGTGGCAAGTTGAAAACGTGGAGGAAGAGATGGTTCGTGTTGAAAAACGGAGTGCTTACGTATTGGAAGAGTCAGAACGACGTGAACAGAAAACCTCAAGGCCAAATTGTATTGGACGAAGTATGCAGGTAATTGTTCAATGATATATTCTATTTTTGTCTTCAGAATTCAAGATACAGAATGGATAAATGACGAGACTTTCTTTTTAATAGGATAAACAGGGCAGAAGGAGCTGCCACGTTCGAAATAGCAACAGGAAAGAAAACGTATTATCTAACAGCAGACTGTATCGCGACGATGGAAGAATGGATAAGGGTTCTGCAGAATGTACAAAGGCGGAACGCGACGAAACTTTTGCTCAGCAAAGAGGATAACAAGCCTACGATACAAGGATGGTTGACGAAGGTGAAGAACGGGCACGCTAAAAAGTGCTGGTGCGTCCTCATCGGAAAAATGTTCCTTTACTTTAAGTGCCCTAACGATACAGTAAGTCTTCAAACGTTTTAATACTTCGTTAGAACAACCCAGGAGTAATAGAAACGTTATTAAACTTATTGTCACAATTTTCAGAATCCTATTGGACAAATAAATATGAGAGACGCCAGAGTAGAAGAGGTCGAGCACGTATCCGACAGCGACAGCGAAGAGAGAGACGCAGAGTGTCCTCACGAGCGAACGATTGGCATATTTCCTACTCACCAAGGTCCTACGTACTTGTTAATGCCTCACAAGCAGGACAAAGACAATTGGTTGTACCATTTAACGGTGGTTTCCGGAGGCGGGCCTAGCGCGGGAACTCAGTACGAGCAGCTGGTGCAAAGATTGATGGAAACCGACGGGGATCCTAGCTGCGTCCTCTGGAGACACCCTCTCTTACTCCACACGAAAGAAAGCATCACTAGCCCACTGACCAGCTTGACATCCGAAGCCTTGCAGTCAGAGGCCATCAAGCTCTTCAAGGTTAACATTAAAATGACAAACATGTGCTTTAAAACAAACAAAAAAGTATCGTTAAAGAGATTCTCATAGAAACGATATTTTTTTCTCTGCACAGGCTTGTCAGTTGTTCATGTCGGTGGCAGTGGAGCAAGCAGGCATAGACTACCATGTGGTATTAGCGCAAAACGCGTTGCAACAATGCCTAGACCAGCCTGAACTGCAATCTGAATTCATATGTGCACTGGTAAAGCAGACAAGTCGTCACACTCAACACCGTTTGGGCGTACAGGTAAAAAAGGCCGCCAGACTTGTGTCGCTGGGTACTGCGCGCGTTGTAAGTCCTGCTTATTGTTTAACAAACACTCTGAACCCTGTACCATTTTTACAGCTGACACGTTACGTCGCGTGATTCTTGATTATATGCTTGACCTATTGACTAACGTACATATATTATTTAACAAGTCAATGGGTTTAAAGCGTAATACGATGATACACTTGAAAAGAGTGTTTAAAAACAAAGAAAATGAAATAGATTTCGGCGGTGTATACATTGCTTTTGTACGTTCAAGAAATGGTACATCGGGTACGCTTAGTCAAGTATTATACGAAATAATCTCGTCGAAGTAGCGGTGAACTGTTTTAGTTGTTTTTTCCCTCATTTTTTTTTTTCTTTCGTAAGGTAACTAACTAATAATTAATACGCAACAAGCTGTCGTTTATTTGAAAAGTATATTATATATATGCATATGTACAATAATACTTGACGAAGTCTTTAACAAGAAAAAAAAAAGAAAGATTTTAGTTTTAACATTCATTCACATTTCATTTTCATTTGCTGCTTTACGTGTGCTCTTCCTAGGCTACTCTAAATCATATATTCATATATATATATATATGTAAGAACGTCATCGTGTTAAGTTTGTTTTATTTTTATTGTGTACTTTTTGATATTTATACATGATACCTGAATCACCTGTACCCTGATGCCCTGATCATGTGAGCCGAACATATTTCGACAATTCATACTTCCTCTCATCACGAAGAATCAGTTAGATACTAATGCACTATCAATCTGTACTGTCTCTTTTGTAATTTACCTTTCATCGATCATACTTCATCACCGATGCATTATTATCGATCGATCGTCTGATTCATTGAAATGAGAAAAAGATACCATTACGAGATGTTCCTCGCGACTTGTCAAAATACGTTCTGCGGCACACACACTTGCAGAATGGTATGTTGGTGTACATAAGAAACCACACACAGAAAAACATCTTTTTACTAGATTGGTTTTTTGTTTCTGTTTCCGTACGTTTTTTTGCTCGATAGCTCATTACAATATATTCTCTGTTTTTTGAATGCTGCTTAGAAAAATTAGTCTTATCCGGTCATAGACGGTTACTTAAGAAAAAAAAAAAAACAAAAGTGATCAAAGATAAAAAAAAAAAGAAGAAGACGAAGAAACAGGTAGAAGCTCCTTACAGGTTCGAACGTCTGTCTTATGAAAGATCGAGAATTTCGAAAGTTACGTATACGTATTATATACATGGAGAAATATCGAGGAAAAATCATGTGATCGATTCGTTCGTGACAGACGGACGAGAGAAAAATGCTTTCGAGCTGTAAGGTAGACTCACATGGCCCAAAGAAAAAAGAAAAAAAAAAAAGACAAGTACAAAAGCGCTTCTCTCATCCACATTTCTCTTAATTCATTCGACTTTTTTTACGGTCCATGCGTTTTATGTGATTAACACACATAGAGTTATGCGTTAATCAGTCCGATTTCGATTGCTTTACATACTAACAGGCATTATAGTATGACGTGTAACGAATCTAGAGTGTTACCATCACATCTGAAAACATTCAAAGTTTCCCTTTTTAAAAAAAGCAACAACATATTCCTTGTACAATCTAAAACGAATAACTTGTAAATTAAAGTCGACGACCTGTAAAGGTCCAAAGATCTTTAATATATATCTTCCCTTGATCGTTCAAATTAAATGATAATAAAAAAAAAAAGAAGAATATATAAAAGTGATGATTAAACGAGAACAGTGGAACGCGATTTATTGAAAAAAAAAATAATGATAATAAATGAATCGATGAATAAAAAAAATGAAAAAAAGAAAAAAGTAGTAGATTAGGTCTGGTTCAGTCCAGGGATATAGTAGTATGCCAGCATACCATTGCAGCAGCTCCTCCTCTGCGCCACGCAATCGCTGTTCACCTGCGATACGCAAAGTCCCGCGGCAAATGGCAGCGGTGAAAATGCGGACGCACAATCGACGGCCTCCACTTCTCACAGTCCTCCGCTCATGCAGGGCCACTCGACCTCTACGATTCTGGACTGCAAAACTAATCCCGCCCAGTACGTTCTTATCCAGGGATGGCAGCTGCTCGCGCTCGCTGTTTCTCTATTCCTACCGAGGAACAATCGGCTACTCTGGTACCTGAAGTTACACTTGCAAAGAAACGCGGACACTAAGTGAGTATGCCTCCACGAATATATTTCATTATGCGAGTATTTAGACATTTGACAATGTTTTCAATATTTGAACATTTTGCATTTTAGAACGGAATGCGGCAAATACGCAGCCTATTGCGAACGAGCGTTAGAAAGAACGCTGCAGAACGGCGGAAGGGAGGTGAAACCCTCGAGAATGGAAGTTCTGTCGATATTGATGAAAAATCCTTACCACCATTCTCTGCCACACGCGATACCGGTTCACTTCTTGAACGGCACGTATCAAGTTGTAAGCTTCGACGGCAGTACAACGATAGAGGAGTTTCTGAATACCTTGAACCAGGAAATCGGTTGTCGAGACGTTCACCAATCTGGCTTCACATTGTTCAGCGACGACCCTATCGAGAAGGAACTTGAACATTTCATTGATCTCCAGGCAAAAGTATATTATCCAGAGAAATTTGACGATATCGATAGATAAAGATTGAAGAGATATTTAGATACGTTGATGTTTGTTCGTTTCAGCTCTGCGATATAATCTCCAAATGGGAAACAGCATTGAGAGAGAAGGGTTCGGGGAAATTCGAGAATACCAGAGTGATACAATTAACGTACAAATCACGATGCTATTGGCGACAAGCGGCTAAGATGGAAACCGACAGGGAGAGGCTTCTTTTATGTTATCAGATTAATCAACAGGTTGTGCAAGGGAAATTTCCGGTAAATCGGGAGCTTGCGTTTGAACTTGCGTCGTTAATGGCACAGGTAGGTGTACTTAGTAAAATTAATAATAAAATGTTTAATCAAAAGAACTTGTACGTGACGATTTACTATTGTAGATTGATTTTGGAGAATATAATAATGATAAAGCCCGAGGAAGCGGTCCAGGAAGCAATCCGCATCATCTGGTGCTCCAGGCCTTGGATAAATTTTATCCTGGACGATATAGAACGAACATCACTGCCGAACAATTGAGGTACGTATTAGAGAAATTAAAAGAACGTAAGTAATGTTTTAAAATGTCGATTTCTCATTTCAGGGAACTGCAAGAGAAACTGCAAGAAAAATGGATCGCGTTAAAAGGTCGCAGCGCACTAGACTGTGTTCGCATATACCTGACCTGCACCAGAAAGTGGCCTTTCTTCGGAGCTACACTTTACCAAGCGAAGGTAAGCTGTGGAAGATTTTTACAGGTGGGAAAATAAAACTAAAAATTGCTGAAAGACATTTTATTTCATTTTATTCACAGTTGAAACAAACTGAACCTGTAACCGTATGGATAGCAGTTTCCGAGGACAGTGTAACGTTGCTAGAGCTACAAACGATGGCAGTAATGTGTCGTTATAATTACGCGAACATAGTTACGTTTGGAGGATGCTTGGATGATTTTATGTTGGTCGCTTGCCCCGACGAAGGCGGCGGTGAACAAAAGCTTTTGTTTGCACTATCGAAACCTAAGGTATATCTTGGAGCAAATTTATTCAAATTAAGTTCTTATACATTAATACATTTGTACCTATATAGATTCTGGAGATAACGTTATTGATCGCTGATTATATGAACGCCTTGGGACATACTTTACCTGGTACACCACAGATGAACACACTCACCCGTAATGGCTCTCACAGATCCATCAAATCGACCCTAAGACCCACAACTGGTTTGTAGAATCGCACTCTCGTATTCTGTTATTCTTTTTTTTTTTCTTTTTACTGATAGAATAAAAATATAAAATTAGGTTCGAGCTGTCTTCCAACGCAACCGGATATCTTGAAGTCGACGCCAGACCACCAAAGACCTTAAAATTAAAGACTGGTCACTCGAATTGGAGAAAAAAGAAGCAGGGGATTATGGCACTTGGTTCATGAAAGTCTGATCCTGCCAAGGCACTAACTTTATACTCGAAGGTACTACAGGCTGTATAATAAGAGACCCGCGTTAAACACGATACACACTGGAAGACGCGCAGCAACGTGTATGTGCGCTATAGTTGATTTTTAGTTGCGTTTCGTGTAAATTAGAGATGATGCTTAACAGACAACGTTGTTCATGTACATACCTGACAGCATGCAAAAGAAAACACTGTGGTCCACGTTATGCGATTTAAACGTGGGTGACTGAAATGATTAACCGAAAAAACGAAATCTGCAACACTGCCTAAAAATAAAATTAGTATGTCTGAAATTACATCGAATAGTTTCGTTGAAAACAAAAGAAAAAAAAAGCTAAAGCATCGTGCTGAGACTTTTTGCTACCGTATTTATATACCAAATTCAAAACGTTTAGCGTAAGATAACTAAACAGAAGTGGTGTATCACATACTATGTATATAATTAATCGGAGTTACTGGATGTTTAGAAGTCTAGTGAGTGATGCAGCGATACCTTTGTCTTTAATGTGAGAGTATACCGACGAAATTCTTACTTCTTGCCAAATCCAACCGCAATCCACGTACGAAAGCTGTAAATTGGTGTGCAGCTATGAAACAAGAACGCGCACGTGATCGTCATTACAAGAAAATATATATGCAGTTCTTTCTTTTTTTTTTTTCTAACATTTCGTTTTAAACCGCAAGATAGGTCAGGTACAGTAACTGTACTTACTGTTGTAAAATTACAGTCCAATTTTTATGATAACGTTTTATTCCTATAACGATCTGTTCTTCAACTAAGAAAGTATTTTACATGGATTTTTTTAACGCTATCGGTTAATTGTACCTTACACACACACACACACACACACACACTTGAGATTTCATAACCTCAGAGAAGATAAAAAAAAAAAAATGGTCGATTTAATACAGTAAGTACAGACAGTATTAAATTTAAGTCTCATTGAATTGAAGCTCAATCGTAAGAGTAAAGATTCTTTATACGGAAAGTGACAAAATGGAACTTACATATTATCATGTTATTTTGATAACAGCTAGTCTCATATTTTATATTTATTTAATGTCTAAGCAAATAAGTTCGTTTTATATAAGGACACGACCAAATAGATGTAATGGGAACGCGTTTTTTCTTTAACAATTAGTAATCGTTCCTGCGTAACATACGTGCAACATTTTTGTACTAATTAAAACGGTGATCCCGTCACATATAGAAGTTTTGTACTCGCTTGACGTGTCCTACATAACTAGCAAATGTCTTCCTTCTCTTTAGTACCCAGAAATAAAATAAAAGTTGAAAGTAGGGCTTTCGTGCAATATGTACAAGACTTCTATAATTTTATAATTCCTGAGATAGGCTGAGTATGACTGTGCCTCTCTGAGCAGTATAGACAAAGTAACTCTATGCACGGCTTTGTTTAGCGCATTGAAGATTTATATAAAATAAAAAAAAAAGAAACGATCGAACCTCAGATTACTGGGAGCAGTACAAAGATATGCAAGAACGACATTTTGTCTTTAATTTTTATAATACGCAATGAAATGCTACTATTTAGGTGCTTAGCACCTTTGTATCATGATGCAGTAAAAAAGAAGAGTCACTGATCTGTAAATATCACCTTAGGCTTAAGTTTCTAAATATAGTAGAATGAGAAGAAGAGGGCAGCTGATTATAAGTTACAATCGTCGTAGCAGTTTCCTGCGATCGTGTCTGGCTGTCTACGGAATATTCTACTGAGCCTACCACCTTACATTTCTATTTATTATTTATTCGCATAAAAACAACGCATAAAGGCACGAGCGGTGTAAGCAAAAAGCATTGTACTATTGTACAGGGAAAGAAATAAACTGCTCGGATCTGCACTTTAAGAGACTATTTATTCACTTTAAATATTCAAATTTTTCATCACCATGATAATAATAATAATAATAATCCTCGAGCGTATCGTAAAGCGTGTCACTTATTTTACATTTGAGTCCATCACAAGCTATTTAAATATACATTCATTCTATTTCTTCTGGCCTTACAGGATGAGTTAATGGTATCATTGATTTTTTCTTCACATCCCTTGAAAGTGCCTTTCTCATATCTGAAACAAATACGCAAAATGCTTAATTTATAATTAAAAAATGGTTTTACAAAAACTATAGTTGACTGTGTACCAAAAGCATCTTCATCTGGATTTCCATTATAATATTCTAGAACAGTTCTGTACACAATATATCCCAATTGTTGATACATTTTGATTGCCACTTTATTGCTAACTCTTACAAAGAGATCCACAAAATATGCTTGCTTCCTAAAACAATATTAAGTACCTTCAAATATAGAATACACATTTCATTAAATTATATCCTCATTTAACTTACTTTTCTGAAACTTTTTCTAAAGATTTTATCAGCATAGCAGCCAAACCTAATCTCCTGTAATTAGGTGAAACTGTAAGAGCTGTTATGTGACCATGCCAATTTTCCCCTTGACCTTCTGCTTTGCCCATAACTTTAACATTTAAAAGAAGAAAAAGAAATTTCATCCTTGAAAGATACAAGCAATAAGAAATAACATATTAATCATAGAACACAAAGAAAAAAACTTACTGTAACCCATAATTTCTCCACTTGGCGATTCTGTCACTTGAAAATATTCTGGCCAATGTGCCAAGTAGTGTATATAAAAGGAAAGTCCATACTACAAAGTAAAGAAATTAAGAAAAACATGTACCAAAACCATTTAGTCGATATACTATAAAACAACATTACATTAAAGTAAAATATTTAAAGGATACTGTCTCCGTAAGCGGATCTAAATTCCTATAAAAAATAAAATTATTACGGAAGCCGGTAAACAATTAATTTTATTTATAATTGCACGTTTAGGTTAGGAACAGCAATGCTTTACAGGTACATGTTTTAATACTTACACGGTGTTAAATTTGAATAAATCATCGCATTTGAAAGGCCTGAGAGTTGTCATGTTGTAAAAATGATAAGGGACTAAATTAACTAACGTAAGCTAAACACGATATTTAACAATGAGACACTAAAGTCAGAAACGCAAGGTATACGATTATGATCACTACGACGTTTTACTGATCTGACGTTACAAGTCGCCACTGAACCACATAAGAAAATGTTAAAATTTAATTTCACTTTTGTGTAACTTGTAAAATATGATAAATATATGTATCTTGTAAAAAATTTATGCATTATTAAAAGAAAAACAAATAAATATATAAAATGACCAAATAAATAGTCTACATTCTTGTCGTTATTTTCGCTTGAATTTCAAGACATTTATCGATTTTTTTGGATTTTTCAATTATTACGCTTTTCTAACGATATCTGGACTTAGTTTATTACATTTTGTAATGATAACGATAAACGAACAGCGATAGACAAGGATAGCACTAGAGAAATGAGTTAAACAAGGAAAAGAATATGGGGTAGACAGGGATAGCAGTAAAGGAACGAGTTAGACAAGGAAGGAAATAGGGGTAGACAAAGATAGCACTATAGCAATGTGTTAGACAAGGAAAGGAATAGATTTAGACAAGGACAGAAAATTTGAAATCTGAAACCAGCACCATCTCGCGTTTAGTGACGCGAACTACGATTTTTTAATAGGAAAACAGAATATAAACAGAGGTATTAGACAAGGAAAGCACTAGTGTGCGACAAGGATAGAGAGAGCACGATTCCTATTGGCTGCCGGGCCGCCATACTCCGCTAATCAAGTCGGTCAGGGAAAAATCATTAATAACTCAATAATTACGATGATTCTGCGAACTTTTAGAATTGTAGAATCTAGTGTGGACCTTCACCAACTTTCACATATAGTTTTTAGTGCACTAAACCCCTTCAATAATTAGTTATTAACAATTATAGTACGTGATGCCGGGAACGATAAAACATGTCGCAGCAGTCCCTTCTGGTTTTTCATTAATTTCGTACCTTTACTCGTAAAATTTATGCACTTTAATACATTCACTGGAAAGCCAGTTCCTTTAGCTAGTTTCTCTTATAAATTTTAATGCTCTGAACCCTTTCAATAATTAGTTATTAAGAATTTTAGTACGTGTTTTCGTCAAAGTTAGTGCGGAATACCGTACATTCTTCTCGTTTTCCATTAATTTTGCAGCTTTTCCTAAATAATTTATACATTTTCACATATGCGTTCGAAAGGTTATTCCTTTAGCCACTTTCTTGTATAGATTTTAATGCTCTAGTCGCTTGCAATAATAAGTTATTAATAATTTTAGCACGTGATATCGGAACGATACCGCATAACTTTACGGTTGCTCAATAATTTCATAGCTTTATACTAAATTCTCGTGCAACTAACTATACGCATCTGAAAGGCAGTTCCTTTGTCTACATTCCCATATAATTTTTATTAATATAATCGGTTTAGTTTAGGAGTTATTAAATATTATACGGGAGTATTTCCTATATATCATATGTGAGTATAGACAACTGTTGTAAACAATTGCTAATATCTGATAAACCACACTACTTACGGTTATAAAACAAATTGCAGAATATAAATAAAAGTCTATTCTACATTCTACATGCTTGAAAGTGCATAATTAATCATGTGTTTCCATTGAAATAACGAAAATGTGTTACGATTGAATGCCATGGGTGTAACAGGCTCCCAAAGAATGTCTAATAACTCTTAAACTAGACGAAACATATTAATAAAAATTATATGAGAAAGTAGCTAAAAGAGTTGCCTTTCAGATGCGTATAGTTAGTTGCACGAGAATTTAACAGAAAGCTATGAAATTATTGAAAAACCGTCAAGATACTTGACGGTATGCGGTATCGTTCTCGACATCGCACACTAAAATTATTAATATTTAATTATTGCAAAGGTTTAGAGCATTAAAATCTATATGAGAAATTAGCTAAAGGAATAACCTTTCAAACGCACATATGAAAGTGCATACATTATTTGTGGAAAGTTACAAAATTAGCGAAAAACAAGAAGAATGTGCGGTATCCCGTACTAAATTTACCGACAACTCGTACTATAATTGTTAATAACTAATTATTGAAGGGGTCTAGTGCACTGAAAACTATATGTGAAAGTTGGTAAAGGTCCACGCCACATTCTTCAATTCTAAAAGTTCACAGAATCATCGTAATTATTGAGTTATTAATGATTTTTCCCTGACCGACTTGATTAGCCCGTGGGAAGCGGAGTAGGGCGGCCCGCCAGCCAATAGGAAGCGTGCTCTCTCTATCCTTGTCGCACACTAGTGCTTTCCTTGTCTAATGCCTCTGTTTATATTCTGTTTTCCTATTAAAAAATCGTAGTTCGCGTCACTAAACGCGAGATGACGCTGGTTTCAGATTTCAAATTTTCTGTCCTTGTCTAAATCTTAATAATGTAGACAGTAAAGTACAGTTTCTCGCTTACTTTCAAGTACTTTAGCTATAGAATAAATGGTGCTCCTTGTTAAATAACAATTCCGATGGTAATTTATTATTATTGGAAATACTAAATCAAATTGTTGCACGATTTAACTTGATAAAACAGCTCAATCTATTAATTTCACATTGCTTTAACAATTGCATGAGGCAAGCGTATTAAAACTAATACTTATAATAAATTTTTAACTTTTTTACCATTATTTACAGGGAGTAAATACTAAAATTAAGTTTCTGAATTTCGAGATCTTTTTTATTTTTTCAATACTTTCGCGTTCCTGGCGGTTTCCCAGACTTATTTATTTAATTTTGCAATGGAACATTGTTTAAACAATAAGTTTTTTTGCAAAACGAACTGAACGTGGTGTGTAAAGGAGAAATAAATTGGCTGTAAAATGCTGTAAAACAATACTGGTATATTGTAACCTTTCGTAAAATACATTTTGTACAGTGATCTTACAGCAAATAATTGATTTTTTCATAAATAATTGCATTTTTCATTTTTCATAATGTTCGAGTCTTTTCCTTTATTTCTGTGGAGTCCTGGAAGGTCTATCTGTAATTCATACGAAAAGAACATTAATTTTTCTAATTTTTCACACAAGTTATAAACAATTTCTGACTAATCTAGTGAATACAACGGTTGATTCAATGCAAAAGTAGTATATCAAGCTGTTTCATTAAGTTAAAGCATACAATAATTTTATTTAAGACCTCCAATAATTATAAAGAACCTTCTAAATTGTTATTTAACAAGAAACACTAATTATTTTGTAATTAACGTACTTGAAAATAAATCAGAAACTTTATTTTACTATCTACATTATCGGTAATGTTAAAGCAATTAAAAATTTATTATAGATATCAATTTTAAACTGTTTACTACGTGCAATTATGCTCTAATTTACAATAAGCGTCGTTAAAGGGGAAAAATTCAAAGAATTTCTATGTGAAGTATGAATTAACCTGATAATACTTCATTTATGACGATGCTTTCAAAGGTAGGACTAGGATCTTGCTCTTCGAACGTTGACGGCAGACTGAACAAAACAATCCCTCTGCTCTTTATTATAACCCCAAATTAAACTGTTCCAAGTAAAAGCTGGGTTATTTCTTATGCTAACAATTATTTGGAATAACTGTTTCTAAGGCACTCCTTACTTACACACAAGAGAATGTTCGTTTATAATTAGAACAACAACAATTTTATTAAAGTTCTTATAAGAAAAGAATACAAGCAAGGTATTCTCCTGTAAAATTTGGAGAACTTACACTAAGTTACTTTTTTACATTCCTTTTTATATAATATTTGTGAACATTAATATGCAGTCATGCCTAACATGCAGTCAAAAACACGTCGAATTGTGCAAACAGTTCTTCTACGATAAAATATTAAGTCTAACATATTTGCCTCGTGCGTTGCACAAAAATGACCTAGTTGTTTTTGAGCGTTACACACTTTCCTCGTAGATATTAAAAAATCATTGTTACAATGATTTCTTTCTGGAAAAATAGTTCGACTTTTTTTAGTTACACTTTTATATGTTTTTAAAAAACCGTTCGCAATGTGCAAATATAAAACAAGATTCTTAAAAACTTCGAAGCACCTTTCATACAGGACACTAATGTTACAAATATCAGTACTGTAATATTTTCTATTTTTTGTTCTTGTGTCTTTCTTTTTATTACAGCATTACATATCTTAACTACTACCTATATCTTAAAAAAAGGAATATAAAGTTCTAAATCTGTTCAAATACAACATAAGGTATTATTAAAATATGTATATGCAAAACATACTACAATATCAACAGTTACAAAGAAATAGTTTTAAATATAATATGTAAAAATAATACTACCCTTTGTATAAATATTTTTATAAATGCTCTAAGTGAAGAAATTAAAGCACAACCAAGCACAACCAGCTTTTCATTTTCTTTTCTTCTTTTAAATAACTTATGCACCCCATACTGATATTCTGCTAAAAAGTGTGCTGTATAAAGTGCGATAAGTTTGCAATTCATACACAGCACAGAAAAACAAATACTTAATGCAATAACCATAGAGTAGTAAATATATTTTACTGTAATAAATACAACGTTTTGTTTTTCAATTTACATCATTTCAAATCGTTAATGAAACTTAACTTTTTAAACATTTTATTGTACCATATGTTGTATTTTAAATCTAATGTAGCTAAATATCTCAAAAATATTGGCCCTTATATAACGAAGAATAAACACGTTATTATGCAATTAGCATTATGTTACATTATTTGTTTCCTTCATACATTCTTACACATAAATAAGAGCTTAATTTTTACATTACTCACAATTAAGTATTAGCAAAATCTTAATATATATTTTGTAACCTTTTTTTTGATTAGCAATATAGTCGAGTTCTTTTTTTCTTTTCAATTCAATAACTTTAAACGATACGTTTGTCATTTTCGTAATGCAAGACATAAGTTTTATTTATAACTTTAATTATTTCTTACAGTAAAATTCGTGATACATTTAGAATCTTGCTTTTATTGTTTCTAAAATTTGCAACCAAGACTAGAGATATTTTTATTTTGATGTGAAATATTCACATAAATATTTCATAAACGTAAAGACATTAAACTAACCATTGACGGCATTTTGTTACGTCCTTAACAAGTAGAAATGCATTTGTAATGTAAATAAGAAACAAGAAAAAACAGAGTTCGCATATAAATCATTTTGATTTAAAATGTTTTTCATCGGTTGTGTAATAACTTTTTGCTGCAATTAACTTTTGCATAACTTACCTACTACATTGTTTTTTTTGTATTAAATGCAAAGAAATGCAACAGACAGTCAAACATTTCATTGATACAGCTCATACCTTTCATATAGATTTATAAATTTAAAACTTGCGTGCCTTAATGCGATCGTGTGTTACAGAAATTTAATACTTTTAATACGCGAATAATATCTACGCCTGTCACTTGATATCAACACTGACCTTACTGGATTTGTTGTACAATTACAGTTTCTCGTAAAATTCATATTTATACACGTTTCGAAACTTTCCACCGTTAATTCGAAATACAACAAAAATTTAGCTGCTATAGTTATTCCACCAGAACGGACACTTATTTCGTGTGTGCATTATCTAATTATTTCTCTGAATAATCAGTCTAGAAATTGCTTTCGATTTGGACTATACTTTTTACTTTATAATAACCAATTAGGCAGCATTGAGGACATGTCTTTAGTAACTGTATTATTTCTACATATATGTAAATATGAATTTGTTTTTGTAAAATGATGCAATGTATGAACATCTTAAGAACTAACTGTAGGCATTGTTTTAACTATGAAAATTATGCATGAGATTTGCATATGAATATATACAATTAACACTGAGGTTTGTCCGTAGGAACAAGGCACGGCTGACGTATCGTCTTCTTTTACGGAACCGTGTTATTATTGGTTGAAGTTTAGCAATGAAATACACATCTTACTTATTTTGACAGATTTTAGAAGATGTCATCTTTATTTCTGCCAAGTTTCCAAACAATTTGTATCAAGTTTCACATCTACCCCTCCATAGAATTCTGAACTTATATAAATTTCCTAGTACGTGATTTTAAAAAATTATGTTTATATGATTGACTTCGCATTAAAAAATACTTCTTTTCTTTTCTATCATGTATCATAAATAAATGGATATTCTTTGAAATGGTATTCAACTATCACTGCCTCTAAACAGCAGTAACAATTTGCTATTACATCTTACAATTCCATTTCAAGATTCTACTTAAGATATATTACAAAACACACATGCAGGATACTATGAAAATCTCCTGAAATGCTGCCAAGTCCTCCAGACAGATAATCAAATAAAGACACATTTTTACACTTTGCAATACATGACAAAATGAAAGATAATGTTTTATGTTAATGGAGCATGTTTAAAACTATCATGCAACTGGTAGCATTAAATACTCTAATTGAGTCAACATTAGAACATTAACTTATTTCTTTAAATAAGTAATGTGAATATTTTAATGTATTTTTATAGTGATTTTTCTATAAAAAAAAAAGCTGAAATAATCTTTCAAACAAAGTAGTGCTCAATACAAAACATTGTAGATTTTTATACTGATTGTAGTTATCTTGAATTACTGTTACTTGAATAAAATAAAATTACAACTAACCTACAGATAACGTCGATTTTACTGATACTTTTTACCAAAGACCAGTCTTTTACTTGCATTGTAAACTAATGTCATGAAGCGTAGGTATAAAACCAACTGGGCAAACAAGTTTTTCAAACTAATTTTGCCACAAAACAAAAAATTCCGATATTTTAACAAAATTAATTAAATCCTGTAATTCTAATATAGAGAAAACTTCCTAATTGTATTTGTGTAAACAATACACAAGGCATATAGTGATAAATAAATCTTTATGGCAATAAAATTAATAGTTGCAGTTCACTATCTGTGACGTAATTAGATTATAAACATTCACTTGGAATTGACAATCCATACATTCATTAGTTTTGTTAGTCAACAACAAGAATAATATTTAAGGCAGGAATATTTTTACTTTACTACATTATAATTTTACTTATGTTTGAATGTAATTTCTTGTATAGCATAAAACGCTTTACCAGAAGCAAGATAGCACATATGCGAACATATTATAATGTATATAGCTAGATGTTATAAAAAATAAATGAAGGACTAGGAATCTCAACGGATCCTGATGGATCTTGGAACCTTCACTGGCAGGTGCTTGCGTGCCAAGAAACGTTCCGTATTTGTAAAAATTTTCCAAAAGTGCTTCTTTTTCGGCCCACCTATCATATAACCATTTAGATAACAGTTCTGGTTCTCGCGGAACCTAAAAACAACAACGTAATAAAGTACTTTCGTAAAAAATAAAAACGCGTAACATTTTCTGTTTCAAAACTCACCACTGAACTAGGAAAAACTCGGTAAAACAATACTGTTTCACATGGTGGTCGTGAACCAGTTATAATTGTGGGCAAATCAAGTGGTTTGCCTTGAGGATATGCTATTGTTATATCGAGAATCCAATTGATTTCTGGTTTTGCTACTTCCATATCTGTAATAAAAATCATGTATACATATTAATGAATATTTAAGAAATTATTAAACAATGTCATTGATTAAACTTCAATTTATATCAAATTAAATTACTTGGTCTATTGTTCAATTGTTGTTCTAATGTAGTACTTTCTTGTAATGGACCAATTGTATCAAATACAGTCTGCATTGCCCCTACTCTTGGTAATGTAACATTTTCAAGAATTGGCAAATTATTCTTTTTAGCATACTTTTGTGATGTTTCTCGTCTTTTACATAAAAAACCTCCTTCTGGGAAGAGAACCATCCATTTTCTGTTCAATGGAACATATGCCTTTTTTAAGTGTTTTTCTAATTGCTTTAAACTTTCTTCCCTTCGTTTACGGCCCTGATAGATATGTTAAAAATAAAATATTCTTAGTAAAGACAATTCATGATGTTGACAGTAAGTTAACAAATTAACTTTAACTTACAGATACAATAAAAAAGTCCTGATGTAAAATGGAAACTATACCAAAGTTGGTAAATTTAAAAATCCTATCCATAATCCACATTAAATTAGGTAACACATTTGGTTTTGCATTAAATGTTGTCATTAGTATTGGAACATCACCAGTACTTTGATGATTTGCTATTACTAATGTTCTTTCACTAATAATTTTTTGTATATCATCACCTTGTTCTATTACTGTAAATTAAAAATTATTCGTTATTTATTATTCTCTAGTAATGTAGGTGTGTATCATTTTATACACTTACTATCATAGCCTGCAGACCAAGTCCACATTGATACCATTGCTAATAACCAATGAAAAAATAATCCTTCAATCCTCCAATATACTTGTGGTTGATAAACTTTTACAGGAAATAATAATGTCATCCATACTACATATGTAGGTACACAATAAACATTGTTGATTATCACAAAACTGATTCTAGCAATACATTTTACAAAATTCAACACATTACTGATTACCCTGCAAATTTGTAAATTGGAAAAAATTTATAATTATAAAAATTATCTTTAAGTGCTCAAAATAATTGTTTACATATTGTTTACTGAACGTTTGATTAACAAAATTTTTATCTATGTGTTTCATAACAATATGGATGAACTACAAAGTAGTGGAATAACACTGCTTTATTTGAATTTTTTTCCAAAAAAATCGATTTACATGTATTACAAGTAAAAAAACATGTTTCATTTGCAATTATAATAATTGTATTAACATGACATTTCTGAGACCAATATGTGTGTAAAAAGATAATATTATCGTTGCTCTTAGGACTCATTGATTTCTTTTTACTTTGTTACAATAATTAACTTTCCAAAATACTCATTTCGAATTACTCGAATAAAATTTCAAATGAAACTATTCGTAAACATAATGCGCAACATTTTGAATTTTTAAAGATCGAAAACATTTCTCAAACGTCGTAAATGAGTCAAATTTAACATTACTACGTTGTCGACAATTTAATTTAACGAAAAATAAATGCGCTTTAGTTTATATTTATTATCGTCCATATGCAATGACATTTTATCTATACCAAGATTATTACGTTAATTACGCGACAATACTGCAAAATATACGTTGCAAAATTCGAAAAATAAAATTGATTTCTATAAAAAATTACAGTGACTTCGAAATTGTTTGGAAAATTGTGTTGCTGAGTGCATGAAGCCCGGCTCTAGTGCCATTTTAGGTTAAGGATAGGGGGATGATTTTTATCAAATTAAAGACCAAAAATATGCTGATTGTAAAATGGTTTGCAATCACATAGATATTTTCTGGTTGATCGATATGGAAACAAGAAATACACTTACCTCATAAAAGTAGAAGAGGAAGAAAGGTCGATCATTTTCGAAAGACACCACTTATAATGCAAACTTGAGTACAGTTCATCCACAATTTTTGGAACATATCATTCCCTCGTGCACAAATTACATAATAAGGATCATCAAATTGGATGACACATAAGATCCGCGTGCTGTTTACATGAGACTTATATCTCAATAAAGTTGTTGAAGTGGTAAAATTCAATAAGTGTGGTAGTATAAATTAATCGTTGTATAATTGCTCTCGATATCACCAGTTGCAATTGACACACAGTTAGCAGGATAAAACTGTACTAGACAAATTTATTGGTTTGCTATCAACTACCACTTATATGACGATTTTCGAAAACATCATAGTTTTATAACTTCTATTATGTGCGAAATCACCACAGCACACGTAACATAAATACAATGGCGGCGAAAGTTAATAGATCGGTTAATAAACTCTGATAATATCAATAATTAACCTATTACTAACTAGACAACGTCATATTCGTGGCCGAAAGTAGAACAATTCAAAAACGAAAAAATCCCACGCTTATGTTTATAAGATACATTTGAAAGTGCATGTTTTTGGAAACCAGGACGGTAGCTCTTCAATCAAAAAACTGAGATACCAACATATAAACTTTCACATTACTTTTCCCACACTTTTTTACTAAAGTATGTTTGAAATGTATTTTACGCATAACGAATGTTACGAAGAACTAAGTAGTAAACTTTTTCTGCGGCAGTAAAATATGTTTCTTACAATGTAATAACACGAAACTAATTAGAATCGATTAATAAAACGTATGAGCCAATCGCAGCGTTATATATTCGCGCGCAGTGTCGTTGTTACTCTTTATGTACTGCAATGAAATCAGCATCTCCACCTACCTTACTCAGAATCTATCTAACTACAACATGTTTTGTGGTTCATTTTCAATCTGCTCACCTATCTAGCCGCGTTTCTGCTTTATTCGATATCAGTTAATCTTTTCGTTTAATTCTTTTAACATTCCGAAGGATTGTTGAAAGAAGTAAACGTTGCAAGTTATTAAAATGACGTTAAATCTATTGAGACCTTCACTTATCAATCATGGATTACTGCAATTTAAGAAATCATCGACGTTTTTAACATTAAGGCTGTCATTGAATACATCTGTGGTTTCTAAAGGCTGTGATAAGGTATAAATGTACTGTACAAAATACATTTTATGAATTAAAAACGTATCATTAACAATGACAACTTCTTAAATTTTAACGAATAATTTTATGTGATCGTTTGGATATTTACCTGTTTTGATTTTCTTGTCCACAATTTTTAAATTAGATCGTACAATGTTTTTACATAATCGTTGAACAACTCGTTCCTAAAATAGTTTTTATATAAGATATCGTAAATAAAAAATTTCCTCACTATAGATAATTTTGCCGGCTCATTTTTGAAATGCCATTATGTCATTTATAATGTAACAATTGAAGACATTTGATGTTTAATCAAATTAACCATACATAGAACGAAAAACATTTCTTCAGCAGTAGCAGTGATTAGCAAATAAATTTTACCAAAAGAAAATGGTACGAGGTATATTAATTATATTTTCTTTTTATAAATGTTACTAATTAAACGTACATGAAAAATCTTTATTTTTTATATTTTTCTCTTATGTTTATTCTTATGAAACAGAAGGTGGTAGAAACGTTTGAATGTTGCATTATGAAAATAATTAGAAGTAGTTTTTCTTTTTTCTTTGAAATCTGAGATTTTACAAATGCATTAAAAAAATCTATCTGAGTATACACAGACACTCGCGCGCGCGCGAGCACACACATATACATCCATGTTATCATTCTAACTTAATTCATCTGAGTGACCTTGAATTTCCCCTGCTCAGACTATTGTAGCACTCCCTGTGAAGCAGCATTCAGTTCTGTTATATAATTCTCATTATGGTATATGAACAATTAAATTATTTTCTTCATATGCAAACTTTCTTTGCACTGGTGTGATCATTTATTGACCTTACAATTTCAGGGATCAGATGGTGAATTTAGAATTGAAAGGGATACCTTTGGTGAGCTAAAGGTCCCTGCTAGCAAATATTATGGAGCACAAACAATGCGGTCAGTGATGAACTTTCCAATAGGTGATAGTTTTGAACGTATGCCTGTAAGAGAACTTGATACTTCTATCTTACTGATGTAATTTATCACATTGAAAATTTATATTTTCTGTATTTTTTCAGTATGCTGTTATTGTTGCAATGGGCATATTAAAAAAAGCAGCAGCAGAAGTGAATAAAGAATTGGGACTGGATCCAAAAATAGCAGATGCTATTAGCAAAGCTGCAGATGATGTTATATGTGGGAAACTTTATAATGATCATTTTCCATTGGTCATTTGGCAAACAGGTTCTGGTACACAAACCAATATGAACACTAATGAGGTATTTATTAACATGTCACTAAAAAATTTAGTTACACAGGGCAGCTGACTAATTTTTCAATTTCATTTAGGTACTTTCAAATCGTGCAATTGAATTACTTGGTGGTAAACTTGGATCTAAAACACCTGTACATCCAAATGATCATGTGAATAAGAGTCAAAGTAGTAATGATACATTTCCAACTGCTATGCACATAGCAGTTGCTTTAGAAATTAACAAAATACTGCTGCCTGGTTTAGAAAAATTGTACAAAGCTTTAGATGAGAAAGCTGAAGCATGGAAAGATATTATTAAAATCGGTAGGACTCATACTCAGGATGCTGTGCCCCTAACATTAGGACAAGAGTTTTCAGGTTAATATTAACGTACATTTTACATTTATATTTAAAATAATGTTTATATCATTTCTAATGATAAACAATTTTATTACAGGCTATGCATTCCAGGTTTGCCACGGTATTGAAAGAGTGAAAAATACTCTCCCAAGACTGTATCAATTAGCACTCGGTGGTACTGCAGTAGGTACTGGATTAAATGCACCAAAAGGTTTTGCAGAAAAATCAGCTGCAAAAATTGCAGAACTTACTGGTTTACCTTTTGTTACTGCCCCAAATAAGTTTGAAGCTTTGGCTTGCAAAGATACTATGGTAGAAGTACATGGTGCACTAAATACAGTAGCAGTTTCACTTATGAAGGTATATTTAAATGTTCAATTAAAAAAGGAAATTATTAAGCTTTTAACAGAACTAATTATTACTGTCCATTGTATAAAATTGGTATATAGATAGCCAATGATATTCGATTTTTGGGAAGTGGACCTCGTTGTGGTTTAGGAGAATTGGCTCTTCCTGAAAACGAGCCAGGAAGTTCCATTATGCCGGGTAAAGTTAATCCAACGCAATGCGAAGCAATGACTATGGTTTGTTGTCAAGTAATGGGTAATCAAGTCGCGGTATCTGTTGCTGGAAGCAATGGTCATTTTGAACTTAATGTATTTAAACCTGTGATAGTTGCAAACACTTTAAGATCTGCAAGACTTTTGGGCGATGCCGCTGCTTCATTTACGAAGAACTGTGTCGTCGGTATTAAACCGAATGTAGAACACATTGACAAACTTCTGAATGATAGTTTAATGCTTGTTACGGCATTAAATCCACATATTGGTTACGATAAGGTATTAAAATTGAATGTTTTATATAATTTTCCAGATTGATTCGTTGTTTCTTTTTAATACAATATGACACGTACATGTTATTCTAGGCTGCAGCAATTGCAAAACAAGCTCATAAAGAAAGAACCACGTTAAAAGAATCAGCATTAAAGAACGGTATAACTGCAGAAGACTTTGATAAATGGGTCAGACCCGAGGATATGGTTGGTCCTAAATAAATTCGATAAGTTAAGCATACAACGTTTTTATTACTACTTACCGAATAAATCTCTTTCTGCTCTTGTAATATTTGTATTACTAGTAGTACTAATTTTTATTATTTGTTAATTGTATACAATAATTTATATGATGGATCGTTTATAAAAAAAGGTGTTGCAAATAATAAATGTAAAATATTACGATAAGTTGTTGTTTTTCGATTTTATTAAAAAAAGTATTCCAAAGTTCCCTTTCAATGTTGTATAGTTACAGTACAATATTTTTACGTACTGTAAATCTCGTATGTTATCTGTATTGCAACAGTCTGAGGGCATAGGTCAATAAACAGCTGATTTACCGTGTTAAATCCTAAACTAAAACGGCAGATACAAAATGAATACCTTGAGAAGAATGCAGAGTATTTCCAAACTTGGAAATCGCAATTATGGTAAAGTTGGAGTAATTGGAGTACCATTTGAAAAGGGACAGGTATAATTGTATAAATTAATGATAAAGTAATACTATATGAAATAATAATAAGTTATTAATAAACACAGCATAAAAAAGGTGTAGCACATGGTCCAGAAGTGATTAGAGCAGCTGGATTAGTCCAAGAATTAGAATCATTAGGTAACTGTTATTGTCCATTCTACTAAGTTGAAATACCATTAAAAATCATAAATTTAATTCTAACTATGTATATTTTCAAATTGAAAGGATTAGATGTGAGAGATTATGGTGATATATCTTATAAAGCAAAGAATGTGCATGGTGTAAATAACATGTCACATTTAGGTGATGTTGCTGGTTGCAATAATTGTTTATCTGATCAAGTCCAAAAAGTTTTAAAAGAAGGTAGAAGAGTATTAACTATTGGTGGTGACCATAGCTTAGGTGTTGGAACTATAGATGGTCATGTTAAGGTATAATATAAAAAAATGTGATATTTAATACAAGTAATTCTTTCCTCAACTGTGTTTAATTAAATTTGTTCAACTGCTAGAATATTATTTTTAAACATAGTATAATATTTTTATAGGAGAAAAAGGATGTGGGTGTGATATGGGTTGATGCCCATGCAGATCTCAATACTAATAAAACCAGTGAAAGTGGAAATGTTCATGGAATGCCTGTAGCATTACTAACTACTGAATTAGCTGACTACTGGCCACATCTTCCAGGAATGGATTGGCAACAACCAATGTAATACATAACACTCCAAACATAATGAATAAAATATGCTAAGTATACTACAATTACTTACAGGTTATCTATTAGAAACGTAGCTTATATTGGATTAAGATCTGTAGATCGTTATGAAAGACTAGTTATTGAAAAATTTGGTATTACTGCTTTTGGTATGGAAGATGTCGAGAGATATGGTAATATTTGAAACTTTATGCACTTAGAACATCAGTCACTCGTTAAACATTTTTGTTTAGGTATTCTTGATGTTGTTTATATGGCATTAAATAAAATAGATCCTAATGAATCAAAATCATTACATGTTAGTTTTGATATTGATTCATTAGATCCATTGGAAGCACCATGTACAGGAACTGCTGGTAAATTAACTGTTCTTCATATGTAACTGCAATTCTTCCATATTCTTACAATATGTTTATTTTAGTGCGTGGTGGTCTATCACTAAGAGAAGCTGTTCACTTAATGGAAGTACTATATAGAACTAACAGATTGAATGCTGTAGATCTTGTGGAAGTGAATCCCTGTATTGGCAATCAAAGAGATGTTCAATTAACTGTTGAAGCTGCTGTACACATCATTCAAGCAGGGTTTGGTTACACAAGAAGAGGTCTTAAGGTTCCAGAAGGTGTTACCGATATGCCTTTGCAGACATTTAAATAATTTAATTACTTTTATTTACAATTCTACAATCTTAAACATAATTAACTTCCAGTGTCAGTCCTTTTTTGAAGTTTGTACAACAATAAACTCTTGTAAACTTTTAAACAATACCACGAAAATATAAGACAAAAACAAAACACCACAATGTACTTCATCACTATATCCCTCAAATTTCATGAATCACAAAAATTTTCTCAGGTAAGTTCTTAAACTTCATTTCTAACTTCTTTATTTCGGTCGTTAGATCTGGTTTAACTGTATAATGACAATCTAATTGTCCTTTCGTATTAGCACCTCTTAGATTAACACTGATCTTTCTAACAGTATCACGGTAATTTATCTTTATTCTTCCTTCTTTTATGGGTTCTCCTAAATATTGAACTGCCTTCTCTTGGTCATAAAACATTTGTAATGCCTGTTTATAAGTTTTTGTTTTCCGAATTTTGTTATTAGTCTGATACCGTACCAAATAACCAAAAGCTCCAACGGTAAAACCTCCAAAAATAGCCCAATTTGTTAATCTTTGTAGTCCCGGCACCTATATATGTAACAAACAAACGAATTGGTTTAATTTGTAATAATTTGCAAAATATATTTGAATCTTTTCATTCACTGTTAATTCCTATTTTTAAATCTTATTGGATAAGAATTTTAGGTTAGATTCTATTCAAATAAATGACGAGCAAAGTTTTTAAGTAGTAATTAATATACACTCGCCGAAGTTAAGTCATTATGTCTATCGAATACGCACCGTTTTCCACGGATTGGATACCATTTTAATCAACGTATAGGAAGATATTTCTTGCGATTTACAGGTTTACGAAGTAACCTTAATGTACACCGGTATTGCTTGGATCTAAATCTTTCAGCCATTTTGAAACGTACATCTGATAAATGATAATTACTATTAAATCTAAATGGTAAAACAAACACTGCTAGTAATGAAATCAGGTCATATTATGCAGTAATACATTCTGAGTAAATTACGTAATAAATTGAGTATAATAATAGAATACCCTTTTGTCACGTGATCAAATTGCAGTTGTAAAATTTCGTTATCTTCCAATTTTTGAAAATTAAAAAGAATAATATGAGAAGATCCTAAATTATTAATACTAAAAGGCAATGATATATTAATCATAGATAAAAATACACTTGTCAGTAGTAAGGTTATCCGATTTATTTCTTTATTTCAACAAACACAATATCTTTAATATGTGCAGAACAACTGTGTTGCTGTACACAAAGTATTTAATGGCATTTTGCATGTAATTAATAAACAGACTTTTAGGTGTACATTCGTGAAGGTATTCCAGCAACAAGATGTTTTATTTTTGCGCGACACGTTACTAGACAATTCTAGGTACATGGGTATTACAACAATATACACTAAATTCATAAGTTTATATGTTGTAACTTACAATTAATAGGTATATTCTTCTACATAAATATAAGTATTTACGGTAATATAGTAAAATTTGCTCACGTATTTCGATAAGATCTTTATGTACAAAAAATTACAAAAAACTGAATTGTCACGAAATTCATGATGACGTATACAAAAATGAAGATTTCTTTTATAATTCATACACGACAAGAGGTATTTCATAGAGCGCATACATAGATTATTTAGAAATGTATCCTTATGTAAAATAATATACACGTGGTAATATATAAAGTAAGACTAGATGTGAGTGTCACGGATTCTACCTATAAAACTACAGTCGATACAGAGTGTAGTTTGAGACACAATTTAGAAGCAAAATCACCTGCCTTAACGCAAGAATATGCGGCACAACAACGGCTGAAAGCGTACTGGCAAGAAGAGAGCAAATTGTATTCTTCAATGATTAATATTTTTCTTCTTGATTTTTACCGATTTCCACGAGGAATTTACGGTATGCTCACTAACTGGGACACAGTACTAAAAGAACAATATATATACATATTTTTTTTTTCAAATATATCATATTTAACCATATATTAAAATGAAAAAATAAATTCAATTACCTTTGAGTATATAATCTGTTAACAAAGTAGGTACAGTTGGGCTATCTTCGCTAATTGCTTTCAATACTGTAAGATAAAATGTCTCAATTAAATATTTCATTATACACACACACACACATAATCGTTCAACGGCACTTACTTTTTATGAGAACCTGTAAAGCCTGATTGTCTGGTGGGCCACTGTCCGTGTGGTACGGAATTACAGTAGTTAAATACTAAAATATAAACAAAAAAATGATACATCTTACATTTATATTTATCAACTTTATAATCAGAAATGCAATCGTGAATCTCACCTTAGAATCTTGAAGTGATCTATGTTGCGGTAAAGGACTAGTACCATTTTGCATTTGATTCCTCTTCTTCGTTACGTGGTGCTGCCTTCGTCGATTTTGTACTGCTAATAACAGAGAGATGAACTGATTCTTCAGTTCCTTCTCGTATTCGAGTTCGTCGCGCAACGCGAGCTCCGCGATTAGGGTCTCGCTCAATGCTCCTACCAACGATTCCATTTCACCGAGCAGCTCAGTTAGTTCACTGCATGTGAGTCGTTTTAACTCTAGAATAAACGATCGTGATTCAGTATAATAAGGTTTATACCGATACGGTTTATTATTTCGGCTCTGTTTAGGAAAATATACTTTTCTCGTGTAGCGGAGAGCCAAGAACTTCCCTGCTTCTTTCCAGCGCCTCGTCGCTATCTAATAATGATCCATCTGAGTCTGGGGATCTTTCCAACGAAGGACTTTCCTGTGTAAAAAAAAATTTATTTACGTTTTTTTTTTTTTTTTTCAATCTTTCGTAAGAACAAATTTCTCTCGTTTATATTTCTTCAAGAAATCCTTCATACATTTACCTGCATAATATCGTCTATTTCACGGAGTACTTCTTCAGCAGTCTTCAGCGGTTCCTCAGGACTATGTGTGTCGGTGCTACTGGACAATATCAAAGCATGCATGTCCAAATCAGTTGCGACAGCCTCATCTTCGCTACTTAAATCCTCTAGTTCAGGTCTATAGCAAACAAAACGGAAAGCGTCCAATTTGCAAACATTAATCGCGCTTTAAATTACTCGAAATTATATCAAATCACGGCTTTATCGCCTCGAAAGATTTTTTTTTCTCAAACGAAAGCAGCAAACAAAGTCGAAGAAATTGCATTAAGTATTTAGAAAACGTTTCTAAAGCTTACCTTTCGTGTGGTACCGGCACCTCGTTCAAATTCAACGCAGGTAGGTGCATTTTTCTAGCGTACGACTTGCTCCAATTGATCGGCAATAAGTTACCAAACGTACCGGTAATCGTCCACCAGAGTCTACGGAAGAAGAAAGAAAAAAAAAAAGAGACAAACGAACAGGTGACGGTAAAGGGGAATTAAAAGATCGTGCCAGGCTATGACAAATTTTTCTTTCTTTTCTTTTCGCAGACACATTAAATTTCATTGGGTGTGTTACTAATTATGCAGCAATCGTCGCGAGGCAGCTGCTATTTTTAATCCCTAATATTACACGATCTCTTCGAACCTGTATATTATCTACTCTAATAAGAGAAAGCAAAAAATAAAAAAACAAATCGAAAAAATGGCCTCAAAGAAACACAGCCAATCAGTTGGAAAAGTGGAGAAAAATTCGTGGCACAATATTCAGGCCACGAATATTACAAACATCTCCGTCGAAATGGCATTGCCACATTTCTAGCCTCTCACGAAACGTTCTATCTTTAAACACACCAAGGCAACAGCAACATGTTGCGAACGAATTGTGTTCCATCTCGCCACGGATCTATCGTGCGAACACATCGGCGATGGTAATCGGAAATTTCGACAAGCCAGACGCGTAGGGAGAGTTTGCGTCAGTGTCGATTCTCAGAGGCGTGTTATCGCGTTAAATGACTAAAGTAGCAAGGCTGCGATAAGATTTCGCCGCGGAGAGACCTGATGAATCTTACGGAGTCACAGTTTTCTCGGATGTAACCCGTGTGAATCACTTTGGCCCTCGTAGGCGTTTCCCGGGCCACGGGATGTGTGCAAGTTATACACACATGTACCGACTGAGAGATAAAGTCGTTGAATCTCGTGCAAACACAGAGTGTATAAATCGTCCGGTCGATAACAATGCATCCATTCTAGGGAAATGAATTTCCGCGTTCGAATCTGTTCGCCTCGTGTAATAAACGAACGGGGAGGTCTTTTTCACACGATTGGACGATAGTTATAAGCACGTCACGATCGAACGATATTTTACTATCGTTCTTTTGTACACGCTCTATAAGTGGTTGAATGAAAATTTTCGCGGTAGGACAACCGGATAATCGACGAAACCGAAGCCGAACGAATTGACGAGGTTTAATTAAAGCGACGCAGGAATTGGGGCTTCGCGGCTCGTTGCTGGCCTTCGAATTTTTCTCGTAACAATTCTGATCATTTCGTCACTATTATTAGTCTTTTTCTCTCTCCCTCTCTCATTTGCTCGCTCTCTCGTTTATATATTACAGTTGTGACGAAGGAAGAATACGGTTGAGTGATTGTTGGAAATAGAAGAAGCATACGCGATGATGTACAAGCGGTCGATGGTGTTGGATTAACAAATGGAGGTCAATTCGACCCACTTGAGTTTCTCATTAATGTTAAGTGCATTAAGGCAGTGACTTCATCCTGCGCGCATGTTGGCCATCGTTCGGGACATACGCCTAAACAACTTGACCGCATCTTTCAGCGAAAGAATTAACGCAAGGGGAACACAGGATTTTCCTTATTTGGAGTATACTCGGTGTATTGATATACAGGGTGGTTCACAAAGAACAAGGGTAATAAATCTTTCATGGAGTGTAATTGGAAAATGTTTCCATAATTAATCGAGCAGCTCAGAGAGAACTGGTCATACATATTCTTCTCATTTGGAATTCACACGTATACGGGTATGTAGGGTGGTACGGTAAGAAAAAGTTACCATAAACGTGGTATAATTAGCAATGGAATATCCTTTCACGGTTTTACTCGGTAATTAATCGACCATTTATGAAATGACCTGTACATCTCTCTCTCGATTAAGCGAAACAAGAAAAACGAAGTGAAATTGAATTCCCGAGAAGGCTAGTGTATCCCCTGCTTATTAATTCATTCTTCGGTTCAATGATCCGCGACGAGGCCGTACACTCCTCGTACACTGTCTGTTGCGTAATGTCGACAGCTTTGCAAAGCAAAAAACAGCAAATCCTCCTTGTCGTATCACCCTAATAAACCTTAATAATCCATTTGATAAACTTCGTTCCGGGTAATTAAGAGAAAATGATAATAAAGAACGGACTTCGTAAAGACCTGTTACACCCTAACCTATAAATACCCGCCTTCGGAAAATAGAATATGGATTATGATCAACAACAGGTTACGTTCATGAACACAATCTAATCAAGATACACTTGTCTCGCTTAATGGAAGCAAGAAACCAGTCTAAGGATTCTAAAATATGCAAATTATAACCTGTTACACTCTAACCTATATATTACCGATATCTAAACAGTGTGAAAAGAATGAGAAACAGATTACGAGATCGCGATGGAATCGTTAAATTTTCATTTCATTCAGATTGAAATAGAATCGAAGAACGTCGAAATCTTCAAAGGATAATTTAATGAAAACACCACCCTGTCGATATCATTTCCAAGATAAAAGGGAAAATGGATTATGATTATGCGGAGGAACTGGTCCATTTCCTCAGTATCGATACAACTCCGCTCTTGATGCCCTTTCCTCCGACATGGACAAATAAATTGAACCGGAGAAACGGGACACGAGAGAGAGTGGCGGTCGAGAAACATCGCTCGGCTGACACTGCGCATGCGCCGCTTTATTGACGTCCGTCCATCCGGAGGGTGGCTCGATACGAACCACGGAACAAAACACAGAGATCAAATTTTCATGGGCCACCCCCCGTAGTCGACTCGATCATGCACGATTTCTCGTCCTCCCCCCACCGTAGACAATCGCGTTTCTGACCCGTTACCTGGCTATTCGGGACCTGGATTTCGACGTCTCTTTTGGCATCCTTCGCGTCGCGGATATATCCCCAGTCCGCCATTTCACACGCTGACATTTTTACATCGTGAAGAAATTTAACGTTTCCTTTCGTCGAGAAGCATAGGATAAACGGATTGCTCGAGTTCGATGACTCAACTGAGTTAATTGGCTCTGGCTGAACGTGCTCGCAGGAATTTTCACGTTCCGATGTAAAACTACTTAACCCTTTAACCCTTTTACAGCGTCACGTAGTACGTGCTCACGTCTCAAAGAACGAACGTGAAGTTTTATCTTTCTCATGCACAATGCATTTTTTTCATTTCATATCTGCGAAAAATCCCACACCCTTTGAATATTTCCCTCCAATTATTCACGTGATACCCAATTCTTCGGCCTTTCAGCTCTCGTCCACCAGAGACAAAGGAATGAAAAAAAAAGAAGAAGAAAAAGGAAAGCTTGCTAAAAGTACACGACCCTCTCTGAAAAGAGGGTCGAGAATAAGAAAGGATAAAAAAAGAAAGGAAGTTACACTTGCCGTAGGGTGAGAATGTCTTTCGTGGGTGAAAAGAGGGCTACCGTTTTCGCGTTCAAAGGCGCGGCCAGCTCATCGACGGAATCACGGCCTTGGACTCGACGAAAGAGAAAGAGCGAGAGAGAGAGAGAGTAGCAGCGTTTCGTTCGACGCGACTCCTGAGAGAGGAACTCTGTGTGTTGCCTATGCGACAAATTGGATTAGGAACAATGCGCCGGATACGTACGCACGGACGCGTTTATTCTTTCCGGCTTCGTGCATGCATATGAAAAGCGGTGCATAATGCCGAATAAGACACGTGCAACAGCACGTGTCCGATCTCAGTCAGCAAATCTCGGCCACTGACCCCGCCATTTCTCTCGAACGCTCGGACCTTCGATAGTTTGAACAACTCGAGAGGTCTCGAGACTCGACTTTCGGCCAGTTTCAATTCAGTGAAATTGGCGCCACTTTGACTTTACCACTCCGGTCAAATGGAATACTGGGGTAGGTGGCTGTTACGTAACCGGAAGGGTGGAGTCCGTGTGGTCTTCCTCGAAGAAAATGGACTTTGCGTATTGTATTGATTATCTGTGGGTTTGATTTAATTCAATCCGTTCTATGCAGAGATTTTTATACTCGCGTGAATAAAGTACTTTTTTTTATTAAAATTTGTAGAGGTTATGTATGTTCTATGAATACACAAATAAATGTTTTTTCCTCGTATTATATATTTTTTCAAACTTGTTATCGACTGTTTTACCGCGATGTAAAATTTTATTGCGGAGACGAGTTAATCTTTATTTTAAGTGGTGGGCCCGTTTAACAGGTCAAGATTCAATTGGAATTTTATTGAGGAAGGGTCTAAATGCACCAGCAATCTATCCCGGAAGAATGGAATTTGTTTCCTGCAGAGTTCAATGGTAACAGAATATAAAAGGAAGAAGGTCCAGGTAGGCGCCTGCCCAAGCAGCAGGTACAATTCCAAAAGAACGATGCGTGGGTCAGTTCGACCTCTCCTACCGGGTGAGAGTTAATTCTCCGTTGCTGATGCAATCTCCAAACGGTTTTCCTCCGATACATAACAGCCCTACGACATCCAGGGATGTATCCACCAGGGGTTTGATGAAAGGCAAAAAGGTGGCCAGACAGATTTTGAGAAAGGCGTGACTTCAAAGAAATTTATGCACAACCGACGGAGTTGAAACGAGTTTTAAGAGGCAACCACAGTCCCTGCGTTACTGTACACCGAAGAAGATACAATTTTGCGCTTCGTTGAGCTTCACCTGCGCAGCTCGTTACGTGCTGGAATATATTCGGTCCGACACCTGCACTGCGGATGCAATTCTTTTTCTCCATAGAGGATGCATCGGTGAAGTTTTTGCGGAAAAAACGCGTTTCTCCGACGATGCATCAAGATTCATCTCAATTAACGCCGAATTTCAGGGTAATTACCTTATTCTGGAATTTTCTCTCGACCTTGCTCCCTAACCTTCTCCTTTTTCACTGCAGTCATAACTTTTTAGAATCGATTGACGTTTCAGTATGATATACTTGTAAATCTGGTTACGTAACGTATACTGTGATCGATAAAAGTGGTTTATGCAGATGAAACTGTGAGAAAGTGTTGTAGAAATAATAAATGGTAAATACACGCGTTAATTGCGAGGAATTTAGAAATGAAACATGAACTGATCGATCGATCGATCAATCAACGTAGATTCGCCGGCGGCGTCGCGATGATAGTCTAATTAGAAGGTGAGTTACTTTCTTGTTACGCGGCCTGTCCACTTCGCGGAGAGAAAGCTGCAGAACGCGCCGCAAACGTCATGTAGAGAGTACTCATGGCGGCACACTTTTCTGCTAGAAAATCGATACCGTGATCCCGAGGATCGCGACTTGTAATGAATACACGTGCCTGATTTAAAACCACCGCCAAGTAAAATGAAGAATGCCCTTTTGTAGGGGGAAAAAAAACATTGAAAGAAGGAAACGAAGGAAGAGTAAACTAAAGCGTATATTTTGTATACAATAGCGAACGATAAGATTTCACTCAGTCTAAACGATACAGGTTTTTATCGCCGTGAACGTCTCACAGACGTAACAAATCGTCGAGAAGTTAAACACCCACATTAACTCCTTTACACTCTTCACTTGGATGTTGGAAAAAAAACATATTTGAAGAGAAAGTGGTAAAATCATGTACCGTCGACAGAGGCAAGAGGATAATACCCCGTTGAACCGTATCAATCTTGCTTTATGCAAGCGCAAGTAGCCTGTAACGCTTCTTAATGAAACCATACGAGTATCGTTCAACGATAGATTGGTTTAGAGTCGTCGAGCCGCCATCGAGTGAAACTGTTTGCACGTCTTAACGATACTCGAAGAAAGCGTTATCACGGGAGATTACTTAAACAGGATATTATATATTAGCCGAGGAAGCAACGATAATGGTGTAACAGTTTGCACCTAGTTTATAACCTATAAACCTGCGGCAAAAAGTTCCATCCGAACGACGTTGCTCCATATCGAATTATGACATTGAAATATCGAACGACAGCGCCATCCCAAGTAATTATTATTCTCGCGCGCGAATATTATAACGGTGATGATCGTAAACGATTACTTCCGTTCAGCTGTTGAACCAGTCGGCTATCATTACTTTATAAAGGATCAGAGGAGTTACCGGTGTAATAGATATCTCAAGGTAAACGCGACAATTTCAATGCGATAACTCTGGCAATCTTCGGGGGTATTCATTTACCCGGGGAGCCGGCGCAGCACCAACGGCAGCTTTACTTTTTTAATCGTTGAACGTGGCCGTATAAACCGGTATAACTGTACCGGAGATATCGCGTGACCCAAGGGTAATAGAAACTTCTCAATCGCGCACGTACTAACGTAATTTTCACTTGCACGCTCTTTTTCGTCAACGACGGTAAAGAGGTACGGTAAAAAGAGGCTGCGTTCGACGGGTACAAAGATAAGAAAATGGGCGGGGAGCAAGGATAGAGACGATTATTATCTACCGATTGACTTATCGACCGGGATTTTTCTACTTAACCTCTTGTCTCATGATTTCTTTAACCTGTCACTTACAGCATCATACTCGCAAAATGGCTGCGTGACCTAATCATCTAATAGATAGAATCTCGCATCTTCATTCTCCATGATGTGTACATTTGACAAACTTATCGTAGCGATAAAAACAACGTCGACGCTCTAAAAACTTACTGGCACTCGTTCATGATATCCTCCTGCGCTCGTACTTGCACGGGTGCAAGGGACTTGACATCCGTGCCGTAATCGCTGAAGCAGGATGATACATCCCCGTCGAATGTTTTAACGAGGTCCTCGATACTGCCGCTGGAGGGGCTGAACGTCCCCTCCTGGAGAATATCGATGCCATTTTCGTTGGTGTTCGCCGGTTCGTTTGCGTTACAATTTTCTTCATATCCCGCGTTCAATGTTGTATCCAATAATTGTTCTAAATAAAGCAGAAAATAATCTCCATGAATATCCACACGTTCCTCCGACGTTTGCATTCTATTTTAAACCCAACAACGCATCAATCCGCCAAGATACGTTTCTAATAGAAATAACAAGAAAAGTAAACACAATAGCTCGATCGTGTAGGACGCAATAAATCATGCTACCAATAATGGGTCACCGTTTGTATACAGGGGCGTATCAAAGGGAGCGCATTGTCGTAAGATCTCTAAATCGCGTAATGTTCACACATATTCGACTTAAATGACAGACAGTATTAATTACACCTTTCATGGGTGTATTATCAGTTACATAAACACCAGTGGATCGTACTTTCGCGTGTAGACGCCAGTGACGCATAACGGATCGAATGTTTTTAGGATTAAATGTCGGTAATTTTTCTATACAGGTAGATGTGTGTGAACGTAGTGTATATGCGTTTTATGTTTCCTCTAGTCGCACGAGCCCACCGGCGTTTCGAGGACACAGATTTCAACGATGCGTTCTACGATGTCGCGTGAAAAGTGATACGAGAGCGTTAAAGCGCACCTGAAGGATATTAGACACCAATTGTACGCATGACGTAGCCTTTTGTCACCCGAAGGTCGCTTCTTCACGCCGCCTATATTCCGTACCGCGACACACGGCTGGCCACCCTCGTCATTTAATTCGCATGTCCGGCAAAATGAGCGTGACCACGCGTGCATGCGTTTACATGGCCGTACGAAACCTGTTCCCACTACCGAGAAACTCTTTCGGTTTCGAAATTTCCGTTTATAGCGCGTACAACGCCTTTTTTAGTCAATGTAAAGAGAACATCGCATAAACGTCTCTCTTCTGTCCTCGAATCGTTTTCGTTTCACGAGTTAACGATCATCACCCACTTTCCAACTAGTTCGAAATCGATTGCAACGAGAATAGAAGGGAAACGAGGCTGATATATCGTTGTACGTCTACGGTGATTTTGTCAATGTTCACGAGCCACCCGTTAGCCAGTAATTTTGGCGCTTGACGCGACGACCTCGTAACAAAGAGACATTTTCGAATCAAGAACATCGCGATAACCTTTGATCTCTCTCGAGAAGTTACACGAATATGTGACGAAGTATACGAAGAAAGACGACGAATAGGAAAAGAGTTGGGCAGAGAAGGATAGTAGACGGGTGTATCGCACCTGTCAGTAAATTCATGTTCTTCAAACTGGCCGTGTCTTCCTCCTCGAAACGCGCGAGGGGTGCCTCGAACTTCAACTCGGCGATCTTGCCCGCCATGTCCCTCATTATTGACCGTGTTGAGAAGAACCGGGAGCGGAGTCAATCACCGTGATGAAATTCGGCACCGTACACTTGCGGCAGCGCCCCCGAGGCGCACCGTTCTTCTTTTGGTTTTACAGGTTTTTACACCAACGGGGGTAAAGGAAGAGGGAAAGGGTCGACAGACAGAGCGGAAAAAACAGACGATTCCAATACGAACTATCCGTCGCCTGCGAGGCTTCGCGAACGACTGACGCAGAGGGGGCTCGTTCGAGAGCTGGTGGGGGAAGATGATTGCTCGTCGCCATGACAACCGCTGGCTGAGCGCGCCGATGGCACGAAGCATCGATAGTAACGTACTTAGAATATTAGTCACCCTCAAAATTTAACGAACACATTTTTTATCAAAGCAATTTTAATAGATAAAAAATAGAAAAAGGTTGACGAATTTATTGCGCGCTTTTTAAATCCTGCATACAGTTTTCATAGGAAATTTCATCGTACTTTCTACGATATTAATGCGAGGTGAAAGAGTCGATGCGGTGATCTTTTTGGATAAAACGAATAAAAAAAGTTTTTACTTGTTTATTCGATTTTCTGACGTATACGTTCCTGAAGTATACACTTAAGCTCCCAAGATAAATAGTCAAATACAAATGCAATCGGTAAATAAAGTAACGTGCATTACCAACCGACTGCAGTTCACTTTTTGCTCCGTTTTTTCCCGCGCAATTATCCTCGACCGGTAAGGAAGTGCACTCGTTGAATGGCAGTGCAGATTTTTCACTTTACAGCGCTGATGCATGCACTGGCGCACCAAAATTAAATTAAAATCAGCAAAACACTCGACAAAAAAACTCCGAGTACATATAAGCACATTACAATTTCCAATAGGAGTTTCCTTTCCAACCTGAATTCCAGTAGAACACATCACAATTTACACACAACAGACGATAAAAATAAAACAGTAAAACATTTAACTATGCAACCATGCTATTAACCAGAGAGGCGCATCTTTACGTAGCCTCTGCATAAAATTCTTTCTTTCGTCTCGAAAAAAAAAGCGTATCTACACGGAATTCATTAGAAACGAAACCAGTATATTTCTAGTCACTCCTAAGGCCACGCCTCGATTATTTTCGAGCAAAAAATCCCACGTTTTTCAGCTCGACGTATGATAATGTATCCTAACCTTGCTACTGTACAAGGTGATAATCCCGCTTGGATGGAAACCATTGAAAGGTCCGTTTTTGACATTTTCTGACCACCTGCTCTTTTAGCCAACCGAAGAAATGCCAAAATGAGATGAGCTTCACGCGCGATAAAGCAATGAAAGGACAACCACCGACAGTACCAGTCCCTTGCCACCACTATAAGACCATTCTGTAACACCGTATTATATAAGAGTTTTCCCAACACTCGCTGCTCACGTTTCGATGCAAAACTTGAATATTGGGCCAGCGTGCAAGGTAACCAAAGTATTTGTGGGTCGTGTAAAGAATGCAAAAATTCCATTGTAACGGGGGATTGTAGTTAACCTTAGCAATATCGCTGGTAAATTGTTTTGTCGGTGGAAGATGGTGATTAATAAAGGCGTACGACTTTTCAGGTAAAACGATCTATATATCGCATAGGTGGGGACATGTCGATCGAGGCGTTCGGCGAGTTATCGATGCAACACGTGCCATTAGTTTCTTAAAAGAAAAAAAAAAAAGAGAAAAAGAACGTTATGAATATTACTAAAAGAGGAGGAAAAAAGAAGGAAAAAAAAGGAATTCAGCATCGACGGAAAGTTACGAAGAATTTTTAAACTGCGCGATTTTTAAACTTTATTTCGCAGCGTATCCGATTATCTCGGTAATTGATGGCATCAATCGCATGGAAAAGGTAATCGACAAATGTTTGCAATTAAAAAACAGATCTTGACACAAAAGATTCATGAGCGGCGGTTTATGACAGTAAAAATATTATCCGCAGGTACAAACTCACGGATATTGGTTAGTCGCGAAATAGCATTGCTCTTCTGCGGATTGGAATAAATCAATGCAGCTTTCGCGAGGGATACGTCTCTGTGTAGGATCCCCCAATAGAGAGAAACTGGAGCAGCCAGCATGTTACTTGAATTAATACAGAAGCTAAGGTAAAAATAGAAAAGCTTCGAGGACCATTTTTTTTTCTCGCCAACTCGCCAAAATCTTACCACCTGTGCGTGGCTGCAGCAACACGTCGAGTTATATAACCGTAGAACGTCTAAATTATTATACAAATAGCGCGCACATAGTGTGTAGAACACGAGTGTAGGAATCGATTAAGTTAAAAAGCAATTGATCATTTCGTTATTGCAATTTCTGAACGTATACATGTTTGCGTTACAGCCTTAAGTATCTAGCTGATGTGTGCACAGACTCGATATATCTCGGCTGAGATAACTTTAATTGATTTCATACGATACCGATCGTACACCCTATCCAGGCTACTCTAGGTAATTACACCCGTGGACATAATAATTACAAGTGTCCGTGATAATCATACACAACGAACGGCCACTGCCTATACAGAGGATTCGTAAGCTGTACACAGGTCCTCGTTGAACCAGTCTATCGCAGAATTATTATAAACACGCCATCATCAAGGCTAATACCGATTAACGGGTTGATATCGTTGTAACGGGTAGACCGGATTGAGACGTTAAACCGTGTTGATCGACGCGATATAAAGCATCGAGGTATAATTAAAATTTCCGTTTTCCATAGAGGAAGATTTATCACACAGACAGACGGTACTCTGATTTGGAGCATGAACCCGACAGGATTGAATTACGGGATGAGTGGATGCTGGGGAGCGTTTCTATGATCAGGCGAGCTGAACAGCAAGAGGGCCCCCCAATTACCAATAGTTCCAGATCGTAAAATTTAATCAAATTCAATGGAAAAATAGAGCCATGCTCTCCTCTACTCCCTTTACGTCGGTTACTATGTAGTCGAAGGGATATTACGCGCCGGATGGTAATGACCCTCCCTATTGCTACGAACTTTGTTCTCACGTTGGCAGTGCGTAGTTGACGATAGACCGAAGGGGACGCGTGCGTTTCGAAACCGGCCAAAAAGTCTCGTAGAATACTTCTACTGTCGCTTCATCAGGTATGTGTGGCAGTGCGTAGTTGACGATAGACCGAAGGGGACGCGTGCGTTTCGAAACCGGCCAAAAAGTCGGCTACTGTCGCTTCATCAGGTATGTAAGAAATCTTACCAAATGAATTATTTCTACTTGGAACAGTTATTTCCTTCGACGGCAATGTAGAAAATTCAAAAGGCGAAATTTCGGGTAGATCGTGAATTTTTTCCCGCGCAAGTAAATTTGATCGATATCGTTACTTGGATCGACGACGCGATTAAAATTTATACCAAGTAAGAGAAAATGGAAATTGTTGAATGTACGAATGACAGGTCTACCAGGCTCATTCGGCAACTTTGTTGTACGTAACGAATAAATCGATTTTCTTACGTGTTAGAGTAATCCGATCACCGGATTTATTGGATAAAGAGAAACGCTAGGAAGTTCAAAGACGAATGTTTCACCGTCCACCGGAGGAAGATAGACTTTCTTCACCGAGGAGACGAGATTTCATAGAAGAGGAACTTATTTTACCCGACTGAAAGTGGCACCACGTTCACCGGAGTAAATATATCGGCGACATTGGCAATGTTCTCCTCGATCCTTTGGCTTCTATTCTCGGATGAATCCACGGTGCATCTCGTTTCGCTGGTCGGAAATAGCTACGAATATTTTCCCTCTGCTAACGAAATTTCCTTAAATCGCGTTCCTCGCGATCAACATGATCCAGGATATCTAGAAATTCCTTGCACAAATTTTCATCTCTCGAAAATGTGGTATAAATGACACTGATATTCTTCCAGTTCTCCGTAAAACCTGTTTTCAGTACAACTCACGTACAAAGAAGAGGAAAATAAGCACAGCAAATTTTCCATCGAATTCTTCAAGATGAAGAGAAGAATTCAACGAATACAGACTAAGCAACGTACAACGAAGTTTCATAGCAGCACGAAAAGATCTTCTTTCTTCCAAGAATGTCTTCAACTTCTCCGCAACATCTGTTCCAATTAATACAATAATCTTCAAATTTCAGCTGGTTTAGACGGAAAACGAGCGTAGTACAACTTCCCGTCAAATTCGTCAAGATAAAGAGAAGAATGCAACAAGTGCGTGCTATGTGATGGAAAGCAGCAATTGCAGTTCCTTCGAGAGATAAGAAACTGCATTAGGTTGCCGATGATACTGCAAGTAGAATATGGGAAATGTACGATAACGTATTATCATCGACGATTAAACGTTGAAGTGGAGCTATAACAAGGCTGAAGATAATCGTACAAAAGCGGGACAAGCATGTACAAGAATTTTTTTTCGTCCCGGCGGTGTCAGCTGTAATTCGATTATATTGCGCCTCGGTTTCGGAGCCAGTGCACGTGCCACAAGTACAAAATATCCTAGTACCGCGTTCATTTGGTGCATTTGCATCGGTAATCAGTATCAGAGGACTCGCGTTGGCCAAGCTTGGACGAGTGTCACGTATCGGGGACGCCGGAAGGGGCCTCTAAATCAGGCGAAATACCTGGCCACTGATTTCCTACACCTCGTTTCGTCGCCGTGTCTTCGCGGTGAGTGCGAACCCGCCACCTGTGCGCCAGGTGTCGATTAACTATTCGATCATGCGTCCCACGTAACCACGCGTCAACGTGGCCGCTCGCCTTTCAACGGGGATGATAATTATTCAAGGAACGCCGGGCGCCATGTTCATCGAGATTCTCGCACCTGTCGATCACTTGTTGCATTCAAATTATTGTCAAGTTCAACACGTTCACTCTTCGTCGTTGCGATGCCGGCATACTTTTGAACCCTCTGCGATTTTTGCAGTGAAACTTTTGAAAACCGAAATTTCTCTTTACTCTTCTTTGCTTTATTTCCATAATATACAAATACATTGAGTTCTACATTTTTTGGTGTGCAAAGGGTTCAAATATTTCAAGCGTACTATTCAATTTTTCATCGAGTACAGAGTGTCCACAGAATACGAATGCAGTTAGCCACATTAAGTCGTGCAATGTAATTACAAAACCTTTGAAAGTTTGCTCTCGGAAGATTCTACAGATCCTATTAAGATAATCTGAAGAATCTCTAAATTCGTTGGCAACCTTTTGATATAAAAAAGAAAGCTACAAATGAGATTCACAGGGGTGGATAATTTAAAGACTATCCTGGTCACTGGACAGTGAACATGTTAACCTTCTTCGGTACTCCCGGGTGTTTGAAACGAGCGCGAGGGAGCTTCGACTTTTGTGCCAAACGAGATTAGCCTCGATTGCAGCGATACGGTGCGATCGAATGTACAGCGATCGCGTACAAGCTTGGAATACCAATTTTCTTCGTCCACGCTCTGCTCGCGTTTACTCGGTAACGTTGCGTTTCATAAAGAACACTCTGCTGCGCAGAAGGAAGCCGTGATATGCTCTTTTGTTTGTAGCCGTTCGGACGATTTAAAAATGAGACAGCACGCTTACACATGTGAAAGATAAACGGGACACACGGTCACTGTTCCAATCGGTATACAGTGGGGCAATTTGCGTAGACAGCTTCCAGTGTTATTTCTTTTCTTCTTCTTCTTCTTCCCTCTGCATTTACATTCATTGTTATTCATCGAACGATAACGTTATTGTAGGCACTCAGTCAACCGAAACAACGTATATGCACTCCTTTTTTTTCTCTTCTTCTCTGTTCTTTTCTACCACGCTTATCGATAGTACAGCAGACCATGTCCACTTTCGATTACAGCTAATTGCACACGATTGCAATTACGAACACGTAAGGCAACGGGTTGCGTAAAATCGTGCTCGCTTGGTTACGATTAGGAACGATTTTTCTAACGGGTTAAAGGGGTTGTCTAACTTACGAGACTTTACATGTATAAACGTGATGTTTACTCGCTCGTTCAAACGGACCGTGTCACGTTACGAAAGCAAAGAAAAAATCGCCTGGTCGAGCAGCTATTGAAGGTAAAAAGAAAAGGAAAAGAGAGAGAGAGAAAAAAAAAGCAAACGACACCGTCGAGTGTCTACCTGTCGCGAAGCGTATCCGCACCTCGATCAATCTGAAGGCGTATCCCCCCGTGCAATTTCCCGCGTAAATCACGATTAATTCCAAGGCACGACAAGAGGGTTCAATGGTAATTAAAACATTTATACGTCAGTTTAATGGGTTTATTACGCAGAACACGTTACTACTACCGTTGGTGTCTCAAGGCGATCGAGAATAATCGAACTTCCATGAGATGTCACTTCATATATTTTATTACTCTAGACTAATTGCTTCTCGATTACGTATCGCAAGAACTTCTAATCGCACAGAGAAACTATTTCGCAGAAAAAATCGAAAATTTCGTACGAACGAGATTAAACTGTTTCTTTCCGTCGAAATCGCGAAAATGAAAACGCGCGTGTTCCATAGTTGCAAGTGGAAACGGAACGTAGGCAGTCAGACACAGTGGAACCAGTTGCAAAGGAAGGGAGAAGGAAAGAAAGCCACGATCTCGATCGTGGAAATCGGAAATTTTTTCTTTCTTCCAAACAGGTGCCTTATCCTCGAGGTAAAGTTACATACAATTACCGTGGAGAAGGTGTACTTTATTCCCATTGGCTTGCCACTTACGGATCTGGCACCGCCTCTGCCACTCGATTCAGAATCGTTTACGTGTATACGTGGAACGTGTATCGCGATCTCTCAACGGGTGGGTGGTTATGTCACGACGAAGTATATCAATGATCGAATCACGCTTCGAGAGGGATCGTTAATGGGTCTCTTTACAGATATTTTCATATACAGATCGGTCGAAACTTCGTTGCTCGAAATTGAACTGAATAGGAAAGAACGAAGAAAAAATAAAAAATCATCCGTCCGCTATCTCTTTTCATCGATGTTATAACAATTTTTTCCAATGATCCAGGAAACGAGTATCGATTGTTTTCAGTAACCTATACTGCAAGCTTACGTTACACAGTGTCCTGAATAACGGTACATTCGATACACGTATCCTTCTACGCCTTTCAAAGCGATTCAGGTTCCGCTGAAAGATGACGAGCTCGTGAAAACGTGCCTCCTTCTTAGTTAATCACTTTCGTATGAATTCGAAATCGTTCGATGTTTCTTCCACATATATCGGTTCTCCTTTTTCAATTTTTCCAACGAGATCACGCAACGTAGTTGTTCGAACTTGTTCAATCTATTATCGTATTCATCTGCAACCTGTCGCGGTGATTTGTAACGAATTTGCTAAAGGTGCGAGACGATGGAAAAACCGTGATACTAAACACGAGAAGGATCATGTAGAGAGAGAGAAAAAAAGGTCAAAGTAGTCGAATGGCGGAAGTAACAGAGACTCCTATCGAATCCGGTTCGAAAGGATTCCGGGAAGCAACGAACGATTGTTATATTTCATTGTCGCGTTGTACATTCGCGATCGGAGGCACAGTTTTATCAGGCCTCGCGATCAAAGGCTACACACCAGAGAGTGATTGTATTCGTGTTGCACACTTTCTTGAAAATGATCGTCTAGACGATAGACAGGACGTCCGTGTAAACGGTGTCGCAGAAAAATCAACGAAAAAATGGGTCAAGAACTCGAAACTTTATATCACAAGGATCATGACCGTCGCGTACCGTATACTTCTTTTGTTGAATCGTTGTTGTTTTTTTCTTCCACTTCTTCTTCTTCTTCTTCTCATGGTAGCTGAACTTTACGTCGAAAGAGGATATAGATAGGATAAAACACGCTCGATGGCCAGGAACTTAACAAGTCGACGTCATTGAATGCCACCTAAGGCATAGCTTATACGGTTCTCTCTTCGCTGACCTTCGCGGGTTTTTCAGATCCAAACGACAAGTTCCGTGACCGAGGCTGGAGCCCCCGTTTAGTGTCTTTCCTACACACAATTCAGCTGAATTGCATAATACCTCACATCGGGGTAAATAACCTCAGGTACACACGAATCCGGTTTGCGCCTCCTGTCCGATTTCTTTTTGTATCAGGTGAAAACACGAGTCAACGTTGGATTAATCATAGTGGTTCCTCCAAAGCGGAAAGATAATCTCTTGGGATAATCGACGTGTTCGAAAGTTCATGAATGTACGGTCTTTTCTACTTTTCACAATTTTGTCAGCGAGAAAACGAAAATTACGAAGGTACAGTACCGCGTGTCGACTTTCAATTTCGAAACGAACCGCGTGTGTTATACGATATTTGAGAGTTCGCCAATTACACAAGTCCCGTCCCCATCGCTTGTGCATTTAGATCCAACACATCGTGATGTTTCGATTTCTCGTGAACGTGTCCTTTTTTCTTCTTCTTTCAATTCGAGTCAGTCGACGAGATGCCGTGTACAAGATAGGAACGGTGTTTTTCCAAAACGTGTATATTCATCCGTGAAACGTTAATCGACTTTTTGTGTTCGCGGTAAATGTCTGTCAATAGGATAGAGAAAAATACGGAGGAGAATCGATTTACCCAATCGATTGTCCAATTATATATATATTTCGATCCCACAGACGGCTGAGAGTTTTTTGTGTACACTGAACTCTTGAATTGAGCACCTGTTCGTTCGCGACTATCGGCACACCAGACACTGACAAGCTTTTTCTCTTTACATTCTGTCACATGAAATTGCTGTGTTTCCATGTCACGTTGCAATATACGTGGTCACGAACGACAAGGAAACGTGACGGTTCTGAAATACGCGATTTCATTGCGCCCGTGGAATGGCGGTTCTCGAGGATAAGACGCGTCTCCGTCCAATACCATTCATTCCTTCTCCAGGATCCTGACGTGCTTCCAGGGTCTCTACAATGTACCATAGTAAAGTAATCAACGCAGTGTGATAATTGTAGTAATTTACCTCTTCGTCCTTTTTTTTCTCTATTTTTTCTTCTTCTACAATTCTATTAAACATCATCGATCGCGTGTCTCAGACGATACATCCAATGTACACCTCTTATTTTCTTCTCTGTTTTTCCTTTTTTCTGTGTGTCATTTAATTTGCATCGAGCGATATTAAGAGATTATAATGCCTGGCGGTACGTACGAATGTATCTGGAACATAGGATCTTCCCTCGACACTATTCTGTCCGGCGGTGAATTACGCGCGGTAACATACACACAAGAGGCTCTCCTCGCGAGATAATCGAGCAAACTCGCGAAAGAGGAGCTCACGCGATTAATTATTAAGGCAAAACGAGCGGGAGAAGAACGCGACGGCGAAAAATGACCGATCGAATGGGCGTGTAGGCGCGAGTCGCCGGTTACATAAACAATCATTTCCGATTCGAGAAAGATGCATATCGACGTGGTACGAAGTTAAGAAGGAGAAGAAAAAAAAGTAAGATCGTTCGTTTCCTTGGAAAAAATTGATTGGCCGAGTTTTAGAAAGAGGGTTTCCGTTGCGATAGAATGGGAAAAAAGGAGCATAGTCACGCTGATTGAACGTCGATCGTTACCGATCACAAGCATCCTAAACTCTTAGTGTATTCGCCTCTGTCCCTGAACCTGTAAGAATGGCTTTTGCCCGTACTCAGCCGTATATAAGACTGAGACGTCCTATCACAAAGCGCAGTGTTAGATTACCACCTCGACGTCAACAACAACGAGCATCGTGTGTTACATTGGCGATACACGCCGGTGTTTCTCTATTATTCAGTGATCAATTAAATGTAGCATCGTTGATACGTAAATCGAGAACCGTTAACCGCCATTTCAAGCTCGGGCAAGATCGATTAAGAGAAGTCGTACATTTTTATAAATAAAACAACCATGGACACTGTGATGTCTTCGGAATCAAGTGGCTCCACTCGTATCGATGCGGGGAAGAATCAGACGAGCTTCCAGAATTATGTGCAGAAATATCCGAAATACACGGTAAGCTCGAGTCAATTTTCTTCAGCTGGTCCCTTCTAGTCGATATCTCTCCAACGTCTAATTCGATCAGATGACGTGTTATTATCGAATGATCGACGATTAGAAAAATTTGCCAGTGATGTAAACGAAACACCTCGAGAAAATAACACGTAATCTTCGTGCAGAGTGTGTGTATTCGCTAGCTGATGACTAAATTGAAATGTTAGTATCGGCTAGGGAAAGGAAATATGCGATAATGATAGAACATCGTTACCCGATAATACATCGTGGAAAATCATGTTCGATCCTTGCTACGCGTAGCTGGACGAGTCCTTTTACAGATAGCCGGGCGTGTAATGGTGTCTCCTCTAAATCGAAATGTAACCGTCTACCTTGCTCTCTTACTAACAGAACTGTGAATCATTGCCACGAAGTAGATCAGCTTTAATTCATTCTCTCGAACTTGTGTGCTGTCCATTGATGATCAAGATGAAACTATTCTGAAACGAGAACGCAATGTTAATTGTCGCGTGTGAAAGCGTTAATTCAATTCACGTTGTCGTAAAAACAATTACGGTTGCATTGGGTTACGTTCACTTTATGTGCACAATGTTGCAACGTGAACCGATCCAGAAGAAGAAGAATTCTGGTCTTAATCTTGGAAAATCTTGATTGGCTAATTTTCCATTGATAACGCGTCGTAATATCCTCGACGAAAGTGAAGCTATCTGTAGAAGCAGAGAAATGTAAAAATAAGAAAATCGTAATTTCCGTCAGATTTGTTTTGTATTTTCTGCATGTTCCAGCTGGCGGATTCAGGGTACAAAGACACAGAGAGACAAAGACTCAACATGGACTATCACATCCAAGTGGTGACCAAGGATGATAAGCTGAGGATACTGAAATTCCTTAGAAGGTTCTTCTTCAGGGACGAACCGCTTAATCAGTCGATCGAACTGATACCAGAGAACGAGGACAGCACCTGCCTCGAGTTAGAGGAGTATTGCAGTATGTCCTCGCTCGAGAACAATCTCAGCCTAATGGCGGTCTCGACTAACGGAGCTATAGTAGGTGTTTTGTTAAATGGTAAGAATTTCAATCGCCCAACTCTTGTTTTCCTTTTTCTCTTCTTTTTTCATCCTTCATTCAGCTATTTACGCGAAAAACCGCCGCCGCCACCGCCGCTATCATTCTGTTTACGCAGTTCCTGATATATCTGGGTTAATAACACGATCTCGTACTAGAAACGTGCCTCTGTTCTCTGTAAGAAACAACGATACCCGTGCGGAATGAAAAAGTTCTGCGAATGCAAAGTGGTGACAAATTCTTTTCGTGACGAATAATTTAGTCCTCGAGTTTGAATAATTGATAGAATCTAGGGTAACAAGAACACCGGATACTTGGAATTATCTTAGAAAATGTTCCTTCTTAATGTCTACAGGGTGTTGAGAAAAAAAATCGCGAATCGAGAAGGATTGATTTTAAGGATTTTTCTTATTTGTATCTAAATTCTTCGATTCTTCTTTTTTCACCACCGTGTATACACACGGAAGCCACTGTGTTCGTTGACGAATGGTATCTTGTTTGAGTAGAAGTAGATCAATGCTAAAGATAAGGAGAATCTGATCGAAAGATGTATATAATATGTGGATATTTAATTGAAGAGAATAATAATGCGGTGGAAAAATAAGTTCGATAGGGAAGAGAAGACACGCCTACTGGAAAACGGTACTGCACAAACGTTACATAAATTGTTATGCGAGTACCGAGCAAACGTGAGACTTATTAATCGCTACCGGTTGTCGCAATCCGCGGTAATTACATTACTCTATCGACAGATCCAGTTAGTCAGATGTTATTCTATATGACGAAAAACCGTGTTGGAAAACGTATGGAAAAAGAATAATTTACGATGCAATTGGATTTTACGTTGGAGATGCTTTATTTCCATTAACGCTTTCCCATTTCCATGTGATAATTAAAGTATGACTCGTCTAAGTGAAAACCATTTGCTCGTACTGTTTTCGATTTATTATTTTCGCGATAGATATTTATTTATTCCTCTTTTTTTTTCTATTTTTTTTTTCCCTCAATACTCGCGTGTCCTCGACGTAGGAGAATTAACGGCGATCGGGGCAAAACGCGAAATTACCGTTTCGCGGGATAAATAACGAGGCAACGTGAACAGTTTCGTATCGAACACGACGAATGCATTAATTGTCGCTTCAAATGCAAAACAAATGTTAAAGAGTTACCTTCGGGATGTAAATTGCTAAGACTCGAGGCGTTTTATCAATTTGAAACACTTCGCCGGTTAATTGCTATTAATAGCTCGACTTGTCAGTCTCGAATGTTTGAAAAAAATTATTCCAAGTACTTTGTTAAGAGAGAGCGAGAGAGAGAAAAAGAAATTCATATAAATGTTTGATCATATTAGTTTGAAAGATCAAGGGATATCTAACAATGCTGGTGCACAATGAGACGCCCTGTATTTTATGCTAATTCGAGACCTTTAGAATAGAATGTCCATATGCCGTTCACTACGAAGCACACGTATACATTACCAACTAAATTTATGTGGCAGCTTGACGGTGTAACATTGTTTCTTAACAATTAATCTTATTCACGTAACATTGAATAATATGGTTATATATATACACACATCGGTTGTTGATATGTTGCAACAAATCGAATCAACTATACACGAAACGTTGCACAGTTTTGGTTTGCAAATCAGATGTAAACAAGCGGATTGTATGCGTAATTAGTCATACAGATCATCGTGAATCGTATGGTAATTAAACGGTAAATTGTTCTTACTTGATGTATTCAGGAAAGATGGATCCACCGAGTGACGAAGAACCGGAATACATAAGCACGTGCGAGAATCCAAAATTCAAAAAGATTCTCAGGCTACTGAATTATGTGGATAGGAACGTGAATCGTGACGGGAAGTTCCGAGGGTTGAACATCCTAGAGATCAGAATAATCTCCGTGGATTCGAACTGGAGGGGCAAAGGAATTGCCAAATCACTCATGGAGAAAGCGATGTAACTAATGTTTATCGTTTAATCGAGAATATAGATCGTACTTGCGTCACTTCGAATATATACGATCGTACCGCGCGCCATTTTGATGCACCGTATATCATTGAATACTTGTGAAATAGATCGTCATTTGTGTAGTACTTACGGAAATATTTTTTTTCATAGCGAAATTGGAAAGGAAAAAGGTTTCCATATTGTACGTGCCGACTGTTCGTCATTTTTCTCTGGAAAACTTTGCGCGAGATTGGGTTTCGAAAGAATATACGAGCTTAATTACGCCGCTTATTTGGACGAGGATGGCAACCCTGTATTCTCCCCGGCGTATCCTCATACAGCGATTATTTCGTACATCAAGAAACTATGAAGAGCGACGCGATATATGGCTTGAAATCGAGTACCTGTTTAGAATCAAGGATAACTTTTAAAAACGCACGCCTACGTTTACATCGTATTCCTCTTTTTTCGCGAATATCCGAAAACGTTGTACATTTTTTTTTCTTTTTCTAAACGTTTCTTTAATTTATTTATTACTTTCGTACGAATCAATGTAATACTATTTCAATCGATTGTCAGTTCTATTTTTAATGCTATATCGGTAATACTTTGTAACGATTAACACGCACGTTGATAAATCGAGTCGAACTATGGAAAATAAATATCATACTATCAACAGTTTGAACATATGTATAATAGTTATATATTTTTGGTTTGTTGGACCTTTTTTTAAATATATATGAATTTCTAATTCACAATACTCTGTTTTTTAACCAATAAAAATACCATTTGTAAAAAGAGTATATTGCAATTGCACTTTTTAGTTTCCTTCTGTCTTGCTTAAAATATATCAAAAATTTATTTAGAACACATTCTGTAAAGCTATGTATTTCGCCTAAAAATATAACATTTCATAGCTAATAACACAATTTAATATATATTTTTGCACTGCGAAAATACAAACATATATTAAAGAAGTTTTTAAAAATTTCCCTATATCACAAATGTGTAAATATATAAAACCTGCTAAACATGCTATTACTGTGTTTAATCATCTTCATCAGTAATTGAATTTAATTCTTTATATCTTTTCCTAAATTTTTCCAATTGCTCCGCCAATGTTTTATGTTCAGCCTCCTTTTTAATTCTTTCGTAATCACTTTGGATATTTGCACTTCTCTCTAGTGCTATAAGCCTATTACGTTTTGACAAATAGACAATCATTACAGTATGAAAAAGTACCCCAATAATTATAAAAATTGTACACTTTTTTAGTACATTTCTTCGCTCCTCTGCAGAAGGTGCTTTCCTATATTGTTTATAATGCTCTTGATATACTGTCCATTGCTTAAAAGTATTGTAATTCCTAAAAATAACAAAGGTGTTATATCTGTAAAGAATTCCTTGAAATAATTAATTTTTTTGAGACATGTACCCATCATATTCAGAAGATCTGTTATTATATTTTAAATCCAAATCATAATACTGTTTAGTCTTTGTTTTACTTAAAACATTGTAAGCTTCATTTATTTTCACAAAATCAGCATGATTCCCTTTACTACTATTATCAGGATGCATCTAAACAATAGTAAAGAACTAAAATGCTATAAAAGAAAGATAAAATAGAAAGGAAAATATTGTAAAGAATTAAAGAGTGTCTTACTTGTTTTGACAATTTAATATAAGCATCTTTTATTTCTTTTTTCGTTGCATTTGTAGAGACGCCCAATACTTCGTAGTAATTAAGATAGCATCTTTAAAGAACGTACTTTATTTTAAACTCACGTATATATTCGATAAAATGCGATGTTGCTTTAATTTCTAACCTTTGATTGTTGTGATGCCTACACAAACCACGAATTAATATAGGTACTTCATATTTGTATACGCGAGATATTTGTGCCATATTTTCTAAATTTTTTTGCGTAACTAAAAAATTTATATCAACTTAATACGATCATAATATTAAAGCAACATTACGATCTCGCGCTATTATTAAACTGACGTTAATGATGGTGTAAGAATATTACAGTCGATTATATTAATATCAAATTTCTACAAAAATTATCATCATAGTATCACATTAATTTTAATCTGTACTGTTTCCATGAAAGTTAAAAGAAATATGAAATATTTCTTAATAACATTATCACAAAAATTATTTTACGTTTGACTAACTTCGTATCTTATTTGTTTGTATGTTTAGCGCTTACTTCGCCATGATGAATTTTTGAATTAGCAGGTACAATAAAACAATTAAAAAAAAATGTAAAATAAATTTTAACGACACACTTCACCAATGCAATTTAAACACAAAAGGTATGTAACAAAGGATATTTTTTATTTTTCATGTATTTTACCTCATTTTTGTACAACATTACTTATAAAGTTCTCAAAAGCGTATTAATTTTCGAAACAGAGAGCGATAAAAAGAAGACTATAAATTTCATGAATTAAATATTTATTAAAAACCAAACTCAGATTTTATAATATAGTAACAATTCTCATTTGCGTTTGGTGTATAGTATAAAATATATTACAATATGTATACAGGAAACATTCTTAATTGTATAAGATAGGCCTCAAGCCCAGCTCGATGTCTATGCATTTCATGCTTATCATATGTAATTTATGCAATATCTATTATGCGTTTTGTATAAGCTCTAGTATTATCAAAAAATTGTTATGTATGTAGAATTTATATTGCATATCTTATGTACAAATTGTACGTTATGACAATGAATTGTAATGCAAGCCTTCATCAAGAAGTGTAAGATTAACTAATAATCTAAAAATTTTGCACTTAATTTATAAAAACTGACATATTACATGTGGGCTTGCCATTGTAAATAATACTTAGCGAATCAAATGCATTGGCACAAATAACATCTGTCTATACAACATATTCATTAAAATTTCAAGTCTGTCTCATATGTTTTAAATGCACTACATAAAAACGAATACTTTCAATTTGCTAAAGAGTTGCAATGTAATACATTGATAAAGTCACATTCTAATAAAATCTCTTATTAAAATAACGATTCAAATTTTTAACTTCAATCAAAATATATAAAAATTTTTAATTGCATCATTGTGCAATTTTACTTTAATGTTTTTAAATGTTCATTTGTGTTTTTAGTTCAATTTGTAAGAAGATCGTAAACTTATTCAAAATTCTCTACAGTACTTTTTCACGAATATTTATATACGGTCTTCTCAAAATTCAACACATACACTTGCATAGGCAATAGCATAACTGACTTCTTTATGTCACAACTTGTGATAGTTTCCGTTTATGAGAATTAATTTTATTACTCGCTAGTAGTAAAATATATACCTGTTTGTGACATATTTTTACGGTTTTCAACAATTTAAATATGAAGGCAAGTTGTATCTCTTTTCAAGCAATCTGAATGTTTTCAAGATTACTACATATTTAATATATGCCTACTCGTTTTTATTTTCTTGTACAGGGATGTTCGGGTATTTCGGAAAGTCTACAGCATCCACTGGATTTTTAACTTTAAAACTAGGGTATAATCCTGTCGCACTGGTTCTAGTATTACATCCTTTCGAATAACCATCCCAATGATTTCCAAGAACTTCTATCAAATCTCCTACTTTTAATTCGATTTCACCACTCTTTCTCGGTTTGTGATCTAAAATAGCTTGATGAGGATGTCGATTTTGACCCCCATAATAATAAATATCGTCCAAGGATGCGAAACGATTATAAGCATCTGGATAATACGTTTGCATCAACTCGTATGCCACACGGCATACTTGAGAACTGAATGTGCATACCAAATAATCACATTCAGACAAGAGGTGTATATCGATAATTATGCCTTGTAAAGAAGAATCTGAGTATCGTTTTGCAACTGATGCTGTTTCTGCTATCTCTGGATCTCCTATTATTTCATAATTCGGATAATGATTTCTTGCCGTTTTGATTACTTCCGGATCATCGCTCGCTAAAAAGACTCTTCTGACTTCAGGCTTTGTTTCAAGTTCATCAAAATATTGTTCAACTTTAACCATATATTCGTCTATATCGTGATAAGCGGCCTCAGTTCCAACTTTATCCGTTCTTCGTACATGAACTCCAACGATAGGTTTTTTGAAACCAAGCCTCTCTTTTGCATAATCTAGTGTTTTCTTAACATTCTCTTGAGGTCGCATTAAATACTTTAAAACTTGCCCAACCCACCATACCAAAGGATGACCATGAAGTTTTTCCAATCTTGGAACTAAATCTGCTGGTACACTCGGTGGTTGAAACCTTGGTTTTGGATTAACATTATCTACAATAGGTAAAGAAATCACTTGTTTAGAAGAGTCACCAGGCCAATTAGCATGTGATGCTCCATTTGTGGACAAACATGTATCACTAAGTGGTTTAAAAACAGACTCCCATCCATCTTTGTGATACCTCCAACCCTTAGATTTAATTATTAACGTTCGTTCTGTACCATATGCAACCAAGAAACAATATGTAATATGATGAATCTAAAATATACGAAAATTTTATTTATAACATTTTACATAAATTTTTATTTTTATCTAAGACAAGCTTTTATTTACCTGGCATCCAAATCCACAACCTTTGTTTAAACTACAGACTAACTTCCTTGCTTTACTGCAGTCACTAGGATTTTGTAAATACCTAAATCTTTTTTGTACAAGATCAGACAAATCTTTTGCTTCCTTTTTACGCCATTCATCATAACCATCTGCTTTAGTTAATCTGTCAATATCTATTATTAGAGACCTTTTATGATCCCAAACATTTTTTATCGTATCTTGTATTTTTTTCCCTCTTTGTTCATAATTAAGTATGTCAATATTTTCTTTAAATTTGCTTAATTCTGCATTAATATAATACCTATCTCAAAAATTAAAATATCATGCATAGTATGCTTATTGTTTCAAACATATGAATACTTTATATTTTAAACACTATACCTACCATGTTTCTTGTACATTATTTCTTATCCTTCGCCGTAGTTCTTCATATTCAAGAGAAGGGACACCATGCTTAACATTATCTTGTTGATCCAACATATCATCGTAAAGTGAAACCTTTTCAAGTTTTTCTTGTATTGAACCTAAATGGTCTCCTTGAATGGATTTTGATCTTTCTCTGGAAATTATGTTATCCTGTACAACGAAAAGATCACAATGCTCTTTGTTTTAAACTTCAAATAAACCTGTCTGTTTTTATGATTTCTAATATAGACTTACCCTAATATTATATTTTTCAATGCTTCATTTTGTCTTTTAAGAATTTCAAAATCATTAACCATTTGGCCTAAACGTTGAGCATTTTCTTTATTTGTAGGACTCTCATTATTAGACGATAAGCTATTAGTTTTAAAGATATGTGATACTGATATTATTAGTACCAAAAGCCATGTAGCTAATAATGCTATTCCTACTTTTCCTAACCAACCAGGTCTCCCTGACCAAAATGTTGCCATTTTAGAATATGGTAATAGGATTATTATATTTGATGAGTTGCATTACGTCATCTATAAGTGTAAAAGTATCACCCTTTTAATACAAAATTTCATGACATATCAACTGTTATGTAACAAATAGATTATATAAAAAGCATGCTTTAACACAGCATTTTGTAAGCACATAAAAGAGTTACACAGATTCCTTTATTAAACAATTAAGAAATGCATAATATAGTACAGTATAGCTTCACAATAATAGCAGAAATTATTCTCAATAAAACCACTTTACCAATAAAACGTTACAAATACATGCAACTGCATGTAATGCAACAAAGTGAAATGATAAACGCAACAATATAATACATAAAACATTACTAAATTATCAGAAACTCAATTAACATTAATTCGCTTTGATATATAGTTCAAATGATATATCACTGAATTAAATAAAAATTTACCTTACCGAATGCCGCAGCATCTCTATAAAAATATTTTGAACATAGAATAAAAAACATTAGTTATCAGTAACGCAATCATAGGAACGAGATCTCTACATTAAATTGTCAAGTTGACTTCTTTCATGTGCGATTACAGTCATTAAACACTGTTTCATGTGGCAAGCGCCAGCTATGTGAGTTACAATTCTTACGTACACATTATGAGGAGTTTGCACTGAAATAGAGGCAAGCATTCTAACCAATAGCTACATTTGCTTTACAATGCTCAAACATGATTCTCACGAATAAAATTAATATTACAGTTATTCGTTTCACTTGAAAAATCGAAGGAAAAATTAAGGTAAATAATTTGATTAATATTTGAAAAAGATGTGATAACACATATAATCGTTACAAGTGCGAATAGCTAATTTTAGAACGTGACTTTTATATTAGATGGCGGTAAAAATGGTACGTTTGATTCTAGCATGAAACACCGCTATCTATTTGTTTCATGCGTGATTTTGTCATATAACCTAGAATCTTGACACTCTAAGCACGGCGTTGTGCGAATGTGAACGGACGATTAACGCCGGATAAAGTCTACGAACTTTTGTTTGAACGTTATTTCAGTGTTATTGATGAACCAATTATCGTGGTGAAAGTAGATATTAAATCGAAATTGTTGTGGGTATTGAAAAACATGAAATTGACAGAAATAACGTATTGGTTTGGTATCGTGTCGCGGTATTTCTAAACGCGGGTTGGTTCTTTGGTTTCCCCTCCCCTCCCGCCCTTCGGATCCCTACCGAAAATCGCGCAGCATCCTTGCGCGCGAAACACGCGTATGCCGGTGGACGCACATTGTGTGCCTGTACTTCGATGTACATACCTGTGAATAGTGTATTTTAAGCTTTAGTTTTACGGGATGAGTGTGTGAAAAACCGGAGCGTTCATAGTAACCGTGAAAAGATCGGATAGTATAGAACGAAACGAACGATATTTGTCAATTGGTCGCGCTAGAGTCGTCGTAGTCGAGGTAAAGCTTTGTACGTAAATCGAAAGAGGGGAACACCTCCATTATTATACCTGGTATCGTCTCGAGGGGAAGAGGAATTTGTAATATTTAGCGACAATAACGAAGAACCTAGTTTCGCGGATCTTTTGGTTCCTCCCCCTCTCTGCTTTCCTACCCCTATTACCCTCTCGTCCGTCGATGAACAAGCAGTTGTCGTTTTTTGCATGTTTCACTTTTTTTTTCCTCGGCATCCCCCCAGTTTCGTTCGTCCGTCGCCGAAGCGGTTGTGTCGTTTGGTAAAACTCGAAAACCCGTGTAGATTTAAGTTGCATCCGTTCGACGAATTCTCTTTGTGTTCTCGTTCTCCGTGTCCGGCAGTGTTGTCAAAATTCCGGCAGCACCGCTCGGCCAGCTGCCATTGCTGTACTGTCTGGCGTTCAATCGGAGACTCATAAATACGATTCTCTTTGGTGATTATTCTCGTTGTCGTCGTCGTCGTTCTAGTCGTCGTGGAAACTGTTAACGGTCACAGGTAGAACATGCTCGTAGAACAGACGTAGCGAGTGATTCTACCTTTAGCTCCAGACGCCGGTTCTGAGTGAGCTAACCTTCACAGTGAGGGTTTCTCTTATCTGTTTGATCATCATTCATCGGGCCTGAAGCAGTGGTACAGATTGACAGAACGATGAAGTGGCTCGGTGCGAGTAGCGCTGGTGCTGCGGGTGAACCGGCACCTTCTATGCAGTTACACCATCCATCCGCGAATGGACACATACCCACGGTACGCACTTATTTCAATTTTTTTTCCTTTATTTTTTTTATATCAAACCATTGATACGTGTCGCAAAACGATTAGTTAGGACAAAATTTTACCTGTGATCGAAATGTCATAACCTATCATATCATGTGCCTTTATGCTGAAAATCTCGTATCAAACGTTACTGCACAAATTTATCATTGTATTAGTTTGTATTTATTTCATTTTTTATGTAACACCATGCTAGTCAATGTAAAGAGTTTTATTCTATTGCTGAAACATGGGAAAAAAAATTCTTCTATTGTGCATATGCATAAGTATTGCATATGCTTGTGCTTTGTTTGATCCATCATGGCAGAGCATTATGTAGAAATGAAGATGTTTTGGTTACATTCATCAACTTGCTTACTCTAGTGAAATAAGAGTAATGTTGCATATGTTGCTAGTTTCTCTATGCTCTGTGAAAGTAATAATTTCATTGTAAGTCTCTTAATATCGAAGCAGTTTTATTTTTTTTATGTCTTTATTGTGTTTTGATAAAGTATAGATAAAATGTTGATGTGCGCATATATAGAAGCATTGTATTACACTGATTAATCGAACAGTTATGACATATCTTTTAATATGTGAATTAGTCTTCTGTGATTTGAGGATAAGATCATTTTGACAAATTTAACACAATAGTCTGCTTGTACATCACTACTCCAAACAACCATTATAATTACAATTTTTTGAAAGAAAGAAATGTTTCAGAACAACATATTGACTTTACATACCTTTAACTTGCATTTGTTTAAATGTATTTGTTTAAATTTATATGGGTTTTGCATGTAAAAGTAACAACTCATTAAATACAAGTATAAGGATCTTAAAGCAATAAAGTAATTGTTTATTAATAGGATGCAGAGCAATGCGGACAAGTAATGGCTGGTGGTGATAGTATGCGTATACAACCTGGTCAAACACATCAAATTGGTGTGAACAGAACTCAAGATGATGCTATGGTTGGTTATGTTTTTCAACGACCTACAGAAGAATTTAATGCCCAATCCTCAACTTTTCAAACAAAACAGGCACCACGTGCTTGGGCACTTGCAGATGATGCAATTATTGATAATGTGAGTATATTAAGCATTTAAAATGAAAATTTGTTACAGACTTTACTATAAAGACATAAAGCTATAGTCTTGTTCTACTTTGATACTCCAAAAGTCAGTTTCATAGCTAGATAGATGCACTTCTATTGTTTTTATTTTAATGCAAGTTTAAATTATTTATAGAATCCAGAAAAATGGAAGTATCCCATTACTAAACTGAGTGTACCACAACAGAATCAACCACAACAATTGGGTCTACAAACTATGAACAATGTTCATCTACCATATGAAATCCATCCAATGCAACTCAAAGTAAGTAATGTAATATTTAATTTCATGGTTAACAAAAGGATATTACTTTTTATTTTGGTACTGATGGCTGCATTTATTTATGTTATACAGAGTGGAGCACCAGGAGCAGAACATTTAGTTTATCTCAATAATCAAATGACAGCACAGCAACAAGTTGCCCTCTTTCATCATCAACAGCAACAACAACAACAGTTTAGAAATGGCCAGGTAAGTACAATTGTCAAAAATTACTCTAGTAGTTGGTAAATACAGAATTATAGATTGGGTGTTACAAATAAATTTATTAAACGTTTTTACTTATTTTTATTGAATATATGATTAATTGTGCATATAATACGTCGAAATATATAGATTTATCGTGTCTATTTTATTAACAATTATTTTTTTCGTTATATTTTTATTCAATTTAAAACTACATAATTTCAACATCTTGACTATTGAGATATTAGCTAAGTTCGGATACCTTTAACGTATGTAAGAGATCGCTTTCAGAACTTGTAATATCAATGAAATTTAAGTACGCCTACATCGTGTAAGCGAGGTTAATAGAACTGATTGAAGGTGGACTTTCCAGAAGGGTTATGCTTATCTTTAGCTATACATCAAAAGAATATTTTTTGCTTACTTTAAAACAAAATACTTTATAAATTTATTAATTTAAAAATGCTACGAACATTATTATGCACTGGTTCGTATTTTCACGTAGTTGTCTGTACCTTTGGTGTAAGTAACGCATTCAACATGTTTGGAAATTAATTCTCGTCCCAATATCTGCCTAATTAAGAGATATCATTGACACTGATGGTTGTAGTTAAGAATCGGCTAAGTAGAAAGTTTTGTCGATGCGTAGGTCCCGTCCCGGCTAACCGTGTCAGGGCCAAAATTTGGCGGTTTAGTAAATTACAAGCCATGAATTCGTAGTTAGTCTGGAGTATCGACCTTCGATGAGAGTAATTGAAACGAAAACTTTGTTTATGTTGCAACTCTCGAGGAAGTATTTTACTCTATTTTTTAATGCAATCGATGCATTCAACTGTCATCAATTGTTGCGATCTGTTCGATAAATAGCATGGCAATTCGTTTTTAATTTGCACGAAGCTTACTGAATTGCAGTTGAAATGTGTGTATATGAGCATGAAAAAAAGAAAGGAATTCTTAAATATATTAGATATATTTTACATTATATTCCGAGAGAAATCTATGCTATGCAAGGAAGGAGTAAACATTTACTCTTTATCGTAAAAATCACCGTAATATCGTGTGGAAAATGTTCTTAACGAAGGTAAAAGAATGTACGTTACATTAGCCATGAGATTGTCCTTCGCCTGTATCGTTAATATTTAGCCAGACCAAGTAAATTTACTAAGCACGATCAAATTTTCATCCGGTCTCCGTGAGAGGTCGTACTTCGTAAGAAGAGCGATGATTGGTCAGTAGGTGTTCGCGAAACGGCGCGTTGATTAGGAAAGTGCTCGGTAGAGGGCATTCTGTTCGAGCGTCGTTCTTTGTTTCGGTTAGGAGGGCAGTCTCTATCGAAGAGAGAGGCCGGTTAACGAAAATTCGAGTAGAGAGAGAGAAGTAAAGAGAGCATCGTGTGACGGCGTGCGTTACTTTAACGCCCGATAAACGACGCGTCCCGCGATATGTCACAACGGACGTGAATTTAGGCGAAGAACGCGTAATCGACTCGCTCCCCCTGTAAATAAACGCGTATTCGCGGAGTGAGTGTGCAAAGTGCGCGAGAGGAGAAAGGAGGTGGAGGAGGTGGCGGTGGCGGCGGCGGCGGCGGCGGCGGAGGAGGAGGAGGAGGCGGAGGAGGAGGAGGAAGAGGACGAGGAAGAAGAGAGGAGCATAGGTAGCAGTGGCAGCATCGAGGCACCCGAGGTGTCGAACTGTTTGACAGGCGGCCGAACGCTTTTCTTTCTCTCTCACACTCCCGTCGGTGGTGGCCGCGACTCGTATTGTTCGGCGGCGGTGTGCTGTGCCGTTCCACGAGAGAGGTCTGTCCGCTTCAGAGAGGAAAAAACGAACGTGAAAACAACCGGGAGTGGTGTGTATTCAGTGCCGGCTGAATCGGCGTCCGCGCCCCGACGCCGCGGTTGACGTACACGAAGGATTCAACTGATTTTCCCGCAACGCGTCGTCAGGATTCTACGAATCGGCTCCAAGATAGCCTCGTCTACCACCGGATAGTGCGTGTTAATATAGAGTGTGTGTTGAATTTCTCGTTCGCGCTGTTGGTGTACCACGGGGTTAACGGTGAATCTCTCGGAGGTGACGCGCCGTGCCGAGGGTACCTTGGAGACGGTGGAGAGTTTCGGTGTAGGGTACGGCCAGGGAGCGGGCACGAGCACAGGCGACTGGATGAAACCACCGGGGGATCTTTTCCTTTACTGCGACATGAAGGATTTGGGGGCCGACATGGTATTTATTTTCGTTCAATTTCCGCTTACGAACCGCGATCGCGCGTTTTTTCATTTCTTACGACGACACGAGCCAACGTTGCGAATTTATAGGTTATGTTTCGGAAATTTTTATTCTCTCATGGAAACCTCCATGTTTATGAAGCTGGAGGAAAGACTCGACCTGCTCGTGTATACGAATCGTTGACGTTGGTCGTGTATTGCAACTTAGGCGAAATTATGTTTCATTTATGACAGGAATCGCGTCAAATTTGTGAACGCTGCATTACTACGATGATATTTTATAACCATTCCGCTGGTCATCTTACACCCATTCAATATAACAAATAACGTGCGTAAGAGTATATTTTTGTCTCATATCTTGACTTTTAGCTAGCGTTGTTTTTATTTTTTCGCTATTTTCACGAAAAAATAGTGCATCCAAGAGTATTGAATAACTGTGATGTTTTATTTTTACCGTATTTAAGCGCAGTGTGGGTATCTGTCAGAAAATCTTAACTTGACGTTATTTGACAGATCTATAGTACTTCTTTATTGAGGGTTGGTAGGACTTACATAGTACTTACATTGACAGGCCTCTACTGCTAAAATTACGGTAAAAATTCGATATACTGTTTATTTACTATGCAACTCAAGGTGACCTCATCAGCCTAATTTTTTTTTTACGAAAACACAGTTTGTTTACATTTTTTGTAAACAAACATCTTGGTTACGACAAATCCGTTTTATAATAAGTCAATAACGTTTCGTTCTGGAAGGTGTACACTTTAAGTCTTTTATTCCGTTTCCAAGTTAACTCAGTTTCGTAATAATCGTTACTTGTTAACAACACTTCAGCTACTGTCATTGCAATCGATAGTTTTATTAAGTATGAATAAATTAACGATCGTAGTACGAACGGTATACAATCATTAGTTGGAACACTTCTGCAAATTGCATCGCGTTCAAGTATATATCAACACCGCCGGCGTGTTCTGTTTATTTTGTACCGATCCTAGGATTGTTTACTACGGTAGTCGAAGTGCACCATCGAGTACACATCGGTAGCTTTCACGATACACTTTTTCGAAACGACAACCGCAGGAGAAATTCTATCATTAAACCCATGGAAAAGAATGATGATCCGAATTGTGAGCTGAATATTCGTATCGAACGTGCTCTCGCATGGAGGTGTCTGATAGTTATTCAGCCAATCAGGTCTCCGAACTCGCTTAACCTTGTAACATAACAACGAATCCATTAGTATTGCCTTGTACCTTAACGATGATAGGATGCTAGGCGGTTTCGTGGCGCAGTTATAGGTTATTTTAATCGGATGTGGATGAACGTTTGAATTTCGATCTACGGGTGTGTTGCAAAACGCGATTAAGTAATTCGAGACAATCTCGACGGTCAGAAAAAAGTTTCTCGTGACGGCAGGAAGGGGGGAGTGGTTTCTCGAAACGACAGCTGTAGATTCGGATCCTTGGAGCGCTGCCGGTACGTTTTAACCATAGAAAAAATATGTATCTAGACGTCCGTGCTGAATCCTTGCTGCGCTCCGCTCCCCCGACCATTTCTTCATTGTTTACGTCCTCGAACTCTATCCAGTGAAACGGTCGGCAGTTCTCTGTCCTTCTCTCTCCCCCTCTCTCTCCCCCTTCCCCCTCTCTCACTCCTCCCATTTTTACACTCTATCCGCCTTGCTTGTACCCATAGACGAGGAAAACGGCGGCGGAGGTACAGAAGAGAGAACGTTCGCGTTGTTTTAGGTTAATGTACTTTCGCACGAACTAAGAATGCTTCTTGCGGTGGAAGCCTGTGTATGAAACGATATTACGTGTTTCGTTATCTCGGTAGGAACTCCACTTTTTGCCACTAATTATCGATCAATTTGTTCCTTTTGTCTCTCGGCTGCGCTAAAACGTAAATATCGTATTTTCGTCTCCATTTTCTTTTTCCTACTGGAAGGGAGGGGGGCCACGTTGTTTGGACCGGTGCCATTTAAATTTATACAGCTTTATATTTTGCATGTTTCCCCCTTGCTAGCGGTTCCCCCTTCGGGTACACCTAATCGATTGAAACACTGTCAGGGTCCTCCGTGAACAACCGTGAACACATGTGAACGGTGCGTGTGCCGAAAAACTCATTGGTTATTTTTCTTTCGAATGTTTATACTCTAATATTTACTATTTACTACTATGTTCGATAGTACCTCGTTTGATGTTCGTCATGCACGAATATAACGATCCATTCAAGTTACTTTACGTCGTTTCGTAATCGATTTTCCGTTTTACATCGTAGTAAAACATTGTTGCAATCCCGTTCAATTACTCTTTATTCTTCACAACCGCCGACGCCGCGGAATTTCGTCCGGAGAACCGTGTTTCATTTCGGTTTCTCGAATGTTTTTGTTTGGCTTATCGACCGAGCGTCTCTCGAAACGTCGCCGGTGCGCATTAACGCACGCCGCATTGATAAAATCATAAAGGATAAATACGGCGCGATCCGCGAGCCAGATGCACTATACTGCGCTACTCTTGCGCCAATATAAACGGCAAATGTGCCTGGAGGGATATTGATTCGCGTGAGTCACTCTATCTCTTCTAGTCGAGCTTCGAGGTTCAGGGTTGACCTTACTTGCCGCAAAATGCGTTCAATTAGCCACGTCATTCCTCTTGTTACGCTTTTAATCCCTGTTGTACACGTGTAATTCTTCTAAAGTCACTTGTGACGTCGACGAAAAAAAAAATTTCTTGTTTCTTCCCCAACACCCGAGGAACCGTCGAGAAAGAAAGTGGAAGA